ACCAAATATTCTCCATCGAGAAGAGAGGTGGTTGGAAGGTTTGGTGAGGTGTAACCTCACCCTCAATGTTTAGCTATTGGTGATTCAATGTCGGATGTCCTCAATGCAACTTCTTTCTTTAGTTCTAAACACCACCGTAAGCGATGAACAATACAGTTGGTTATCTTAAGCAATCTAAGGCTTCTTTTGCGAAGTCGAGAATTATCCTCGGTTTTCGCAAGATTGTCCGACACATGACTTGAAAGGAACAGAGAAATCTAATCATATTATGACTTAAGATATAGGAAATAAAGAATGGACATATTCGAACCAAGGACACTTTGTAAGCCGTTATACACCTCGCCACACTGATCATAGTTGTCGTGTAGAATCCAACTAGGAAGCTAGGGTCTAGTAACATGATTCAGAACAAGTTAGTGACTCCATGGATTCTTGTCAAGTTATCGTTTGAAGGTTTCTAGATTTGCCCCAACCTATTTCTATGAAAGCCAGAATCAAATGGCGGGGGGGACTATTAACAGAATACCGTAGACTTACTGGATTTGCCATCTTCACTCAGTGCCCTACGCGTAGGCTTATCATCGCTCACTTGGTGATTATCATATCTCAGCACGTTTCGAGGATATCCACGACAAAATAATTGTGGTGCGCACATGTCATTCATCCTTAAGGACCATCTTCATAGCCACAATGCACTAAGGGGCGGACTGCTACTCAATTGATTGGTAAGCGGACGAAAATCTTGTCTATTCCAAGGTATTTAGGAATCTGCAGTTTATCAGCATCCTTACGAAACGGTCGGACTTAATGATAAGTATTACCAGCAAAAAGTAATCTGGAAACTAAATATTCATTAGGTTGGAATTTACCAATTATTTAATGCGATCTAGAGTGTTTTGTCAAACCCACCAAATAAAGTCCAGTAGCTAAAATATCGTATACATATTGAGATGGCAAAAGAGTATCAATACGAACATTATGTTGGTTACGTCATATAGGATTTTAATGGGCTCTATTTTTATGGATGATTATTAGTTTTGGCTGTTGAAGACTACGATCACTTGGTTTCTTGTACACAATTCTAGTTTGCCGTTTGAATTCCAAAGTCGGGTTATCTTTATATATGTTAACTATTAATTCTTCCATCTTCTTTATTTTTCTAAGACTAATAAGCGATTGTTTAACTACATCAGTTTCGACTGGTTAGTGTTATTATACAGTCCACTACTAAACTTGACAAACGGTCGGGTATCAAACTTCTCAGTAATGGATAAGAGTAGTCTGAATAAAAGAAAGTCTTTTTGGAAGCAAGTAAGATCGAGCGATAATTCCCTTAACTTATACTAAACAAAGCTGCGATGTAACTCTTAAATTGGGAATACATTCTTCTCTTTGAGTTGTGGTAAACTTTGTAAGCAGTGCTGAGTAATTTTGCTGTTAGTATTCATAGATTGTAATATTTAAAGTAGTTAATCAACCTGCCAGTCCTGTAACAAGTTGTAGTTCCTTTTAGTTTTCAAAGATGACTTATTCAGTTTTTAATGGTCTAATTACTATCAGAAATTTTGGTTCGATCTGGTTAGGACGTGTCCCGTAAACCGATTTCCAAAGTGGTTTTATGATATTACAGAACAGAAATATAATGGAATTACAGTAACTTATTTTGTAGACTAGTTTTAATTCTAAAACTGATACTATGAGTCCCAAGGTTTCGGTATATGTTCATTATTCTAAGAATTATTTTGTACAGAGATCCAAACTAATTAGTTATGCAGCCGACTATACTTTTAAATCTTAGTTGCTTACTTTGTTTTCATCAACTTTTTTTAAAAACCGTAAACATTGGAATTTGATAAACAAAAAGTAAATAAAAGTTGAATTGTATTTACAAACTCATAATGATGTAAAAATATTCTAATCAACTCTATGTACAGTGTATTTTCTGTATATAACTGTGACGCAAATGATTTGTTCAACTGAAGAAATATTCTGCTTTCATAACTTCGGACAAATCAAATGAACCTATATAAATTATATAAAGGGAAACATTATATTGCTTGGTATTTAAAAGTAGTTTAATGTTTATTAAGGTAAATTATTGAATACAAATAGAAAAGTGCATATTTTATGCACACTTATCATAAATAATTCCCACTCATTGAAAATACAAAAGTTAAACAAGGTGATAGTTATGGCTAAATCTATCCAAACATTATGTTGATAAATTAGTGTGTAGAATAAAGAATGATCATTCTCGTTTTACATGAAACTTTATTTGGATGCCTGCGTATCCAAATGACCATTACTATATTTAACCGAAACGTAACTATAGAAATGCCAGACATGATCCAAATGGATATATACATATCTTTACAGGAAGCTGATATGAAAACAGAACCATTTGTGTTCGGGAAAACTTGACACAAGCTCAAATAAAATGTTTTTTGCACAAAAAGTGGATCTCATAACACCGTAACGTAACGGTGGATGATAAGTTCAAGTTTTATCAACAAAATAAAAACTAAGGTAGATATCTACAAACAATAGACAAGAACAATAGTTTCACATCAATGCATAAGCTTTAAAAGAGCCCCCAAATGCCCTGGTACGGCCGAGAGTGAGGAGAGTCCGCTCTCCCTCTCGAAATGCTCTCACATGGCCACGCGTATACAGCCTCTGCCAGGGAAGTCCTACTCACTGCCTTCTCGTGGCGGGGGTGTTGTTTACGAAAATGAGAGGACGAAAAACGAACGTCCGGCACTATAACCGGATCCCAAATCAATGGCGCACATGAGCTCCAGTATCCTGAGGGAACAAATGGCGTATGAACCAATCGTTGGTCACCGGCTACCATGAGACTGCATCTCCTTACGATGCTCCACTGCCTTGTGGGTCAGACGTTCAGGTCGAAGGTTCGGGGTGTGGCCCCCTAAGGAAACCACCTGCTTCGGTTTGAGCACCCGGGCAGTATCACAGCCCTCACACAAACCAATTGAGATTTGTGTTGCGCATATGTACTTGGAGCCTCCTTGTACCTATACCTGTGTTAAGATAAATAAATAAATAAAATATGCGGGGTCATGGGGACATCCACAGTCCTTCGAATTTTCTGTACTACAGAAGGAGTTACATCTTACCAAATATTCTCCATCGAGAAGAGAGGTGGTTGGAAGGTTTGGTGAGGTGTAACCTCACCCTCAATGTTTAGCTATTGGTGATTCAATGTCGGATGTCCTCAATGCAACTTCTTTCTTTAGTTCTAAACACCACCGTAAGCGATGAACAATACAGTTGGTTATCTTAAGCAATCTAAGGCTTCTTTTGCGAAGTCGAGAATTATCCTCGGTTTTCGCAAGATTGTCCGACACATGACTTGAAAGGAACAGAGAAATCTAATCATATTATGACTTAAGATATAGGAAATAAAGAATGGACATATTCGAACCAAGGACACTTTGTAAGCCGTTATACACCTCGCCACACTGATCATAGTTGTCGTGTAGAATCCAACTAGGAAGCTAGGGTCTAGTAACATGATTCAGAACAAGTTAGTGACTCCATGGATTCTTGTCAAGTTATCGTTTGAAGGTTTCTAGATTTGCCCCAACCTATTTCTATGAAAGCCAGAATCAAATGGCGGGGGGGACTATTAACAGAATACCGTAGACTTACTGGATTTGCCATCTTCACTCAGTGCCCTACGCGTAGGCTTATCATCGCTCACTTGGTGATTATCATATCTCAGCACGTTTCGAGGATATCCACGACAAAATAATTGTGGTGCGCACATGTCATTCATCCTTAAGGACCATCTTCATAGCCACAATGCACTAAGGGGCGGACTGCTACTCAATTGATTGGTAAGCGGACGAAAATCTTGTCTATTCCAAGGTATTTAGGAATCTGCAGTTTATCAGCATCCTTACGAAACGGTCGGACTTAATGATAAGTATTACCAGCAAAAAGTAATCTGGAAACTAAATATTCATTAGGTTGGAATTTACCAATTATTTAATGCGATCTAGAGTGTTTTGTCAAACCCACCAAATAAAGTCCAGTAGCTAAAATATCGTATACATATTGAGATGGCAAAAGAGTATCAATACGAACATTATGTTGGTTACGTCATATAGGATTTTAATGGGCTCTATTTTTATGGATGATTATTAGTTTTGGCTGTTGAAGACTACGATCACTTGGTTTCTTGTACACAATTCTAGTTTGCCGTTTGAATTCCAAAGTCGGGTTATCTTTATATATGTTAACTATTAATTCTTCCATCTTCTTTATTTTTCTAAGACTAATAAGCGATTGTTTAACTACATCAGTTTCGACTGGTTAGTGTTATTATACAGTCCACTACTAAACTTGACAAACGGTCGGGTATCAAACTTCTCAGTAATGGATAAGAGTAGTCTGAATAAAAGAAAGTCTTTTTGGAAGCAAGTAAGATCGAGCGATAATTCCCTTAACTTATACTAAACAAAGCTGCGATGTAACTCTTAAATTGGGAATACATTCTTCTCTTTGAGTTGTGGTAAACTTTGTAAGCAGTGCTGAGTAATTTTGCTGTTAGTATTCATAGATTGTAATATTTAAAGTAGTTAATCAACCTGCCAGTCCTGTAACAAGTTGTAGTTCCTTTTAGTTTTCAAAGATGACTTATTCAGTTTTTAATGGTCTAATTACTATCAGAAATTTTGGTTCGATCTGGTTAGGACGTGTCCCGTAAACCGATTTCCAAAGTGGTTTTATGATATTACAGAACAGAAATATAATGGAATTACAGTAACTTATTTTGTAGACTAGTTTTAATTCTAAAACTGATACTATGAGTCCCAAGGTTTCGGTATATGTTCATTATTCTAAGAATTATTTTGTACAGAGATCCAAACTAATTAGTTATGCAGCCGACTATACTTTTAAATCTTAGTTGCTTACTTTGTTTTCATCAACTTTTTTTAAAAACCGTAAACATTGGAATTTGATAAACAAAAAGTAAATAAAAGTTGAATTGTATTTACAAACTCATAATGATGTAAAAATATTCTAATCAACTCTATGTACAGTGTATTTTCTGTATATAACTGTGACGCAAATGATTTGTTCAACTGAAGAAATATTCTGCTTTCATAACTTCGGACAAATCAAATGAACCTATATAAATTATATAAAGGGAAACATTATATTGCTTGGTATTTAAAAGTAGTTTAATGTTTATTAAGGTAAATTATTGAATACAAATAGAAAAGTGCATATTTTATGCACACTTATCATAAATAATTCCCACTCATTGAAAATACAAAAGTTAAACAAGGTGATAGTTATGGCTAAATCTATCCAAACATTATGTTGATAAATTAGTGTGTAGAATAAAGAATGATCATTCTCGTTTTACATGAAACTTTATTTGGATGCCTGCGTATCCAAATGACCATTACTATATTTAACCGAAACGTAACTATAGAAATGCCAGACATGATCCAAATGGATATATACATATCTTTACAGGAAGCTGATATGAAAACAGAACCATTTGTGTTCGGGAAAACTTGACACAAGCTCAAATAAAATGTTTTTTGCACAAAAAGTGGATCTCATAACACCGTAACGTAACGGTGGATGATAAGTTCAAGTTTTATCAACAAAATAAAAACTAAGGTAGATATCTACAAACAATAGACAAGAACAATAGTTTCACATCAATGCATAAGCTTTAAAAGAGCCCCCAAATGCCCTGGTACGGCCGAGAGTGAGGAGAGTCCGCTCTCCCTCTCGAAATGCTCTCACATGGCCACGCGTATACAGCCTCTGCCAGGGAAGTCCTACTCACTGCCTTCTCGTGGCGGGGGTGTTGTTTACGAAAATGAGAGGACGAAAAACGAACGTCCGGCACTATAACCGGATCCCAAATCAATGGCGCACATGAGCTCCAGTATCCTGAGGGAACAAATGGCGTATGAACCAATCGTTGGTCACCGGCTACCATGAGACTGCATCTCCTTACGATGCTCCACTGCCTTGTGGGTCAGACGTTCAGGTCGAAGGTTCGGGGTGTGGCCCCCTAAGGAAACCACCTGCTTCGGTTTGAGCACCCGGGCAGTATCACAGCCCTCACACAAACCAATTGAGATTTGTGTTGCGCATATGTACTTGGAGCCTCCTTGTACCTATACCTGTGTTAAGATAAATAAATAAATAAAATATGCGGGGTCATGGGGACATCCACAGTCCTTCGAATTTTCTGTACTACAGAAGGAGTTACATCTTACCAAATATTCTCCATCGAGAAGAGAGGTGGTTGGAAGGTTTGGTGAGGTGTAACCTCACCCTCAATGTTTAGCTATTGGTGATTCAATGTCGGATGTCCTCAATGCAACTTCTTTCTTTAGTTCTAAACACCACCGTAAGCGATGAACAATACAGTTGGTTATCTTAAGCAATCTAAGGCTTCTTTTGCGAAGTCGAGAATTATCCTCGGTTTTCGCAAGATTGTCCGACACATGACTTGAAAGGAACAGAGAAATCTAATCATATTATGACTTAAGATATAGGAAATAAAGAATGGACATATTCGAACCAAGGACACTTTGTAAGCCGTTATACACCTCGCCACACTGATCATAGTTGTCGTGTAGAATCCAACTAGGAAGCTAGGGTCTAGTAACATGATTCAGAACAAGTTAGTGACTCCATGGATTCTTGTCAAGTTATCGTTTGAAGGTTTCTAGATTTGCCCCAACCTATTTCTATGAAAGCCAGAATCAAATGGCGGGGGGGACTATTAACAGAATACCGTAGACTTACTGGATTTGCCATCTTCACTCAGTGCCCTACGCGTAGGCTTATCATCGCTCACTTGGTGATTATCATATCTCAGCACGTTTCGAGGATATCCACGACAAAATAATTGTGGTGCGCACATGTCATTCATCCTTAAGGACCATCTTCATAGCCACAATGCACTAAGGGGCGGACTGCTACTCAATTGATTGGTAAGCGGACGAAAATCTTGTCTATTCCAAGGTATTTAGGAATCTGCAGTTTATCAGCATCCTTACGAAACGGTCGGACTTAATGATAAGTATTACCAGCAAAAAGTAATCTGGAAACTAAATATTCATTAGGTTGGAATTTACCAATTATTTAATGCGATCTAGAGTGTTTTGTCAAACCCACCAAATAAAGTCCAGTAGCTAAAATATCGTATACATATTGAGATGGCAAAAGAGTATCAATACGAACATTATGTTGGTTACGTCATATAGGATTTTAATGGGCTCTATTTTTATGGATGATTATTAGTTTTGGCTGTTGAAGACTACGATCACTTGGTTTCTTGTACACAATTCTAGTTTGCCGTTTGAATTCCAAAGTCGGGTTATCTTTATATATGTTAACTATTAATTCTTCCATCTTCTTTATTTTTCTAAGACTAATAAGCGATTGTTTAACTACATCAGTTTCGACTGGTTAGTGTTATTATACAGTCCACTACTAAACTTGACAAACGGTCGGGTATCAAACTTCTCAGTAATGGATAAGAGTAGTCTGAATAAAAGAAAGTCTTTTTGGAAGCAAGTAAGATCGAGCGATAATTCCCTTAACTTATACTAAACAAAGCTGCGATGTAACTCTTAAATTGGGAATACATTCTTCTCTTTGAGTTGTGGTAAACTTTGTAAGCAGTGCTGAGTAATTTTGCTGTTAGTATTCATAGATTGTAATATTTAAAGTAGTTAATCAACCTGCCAGTCCTGTAACAAGTTGTAGTTCCTTTTAGTTTTCAAAGATGACTTATTCAGTTTTTAATGGTCTAATTACTATCAGAAATTTTGGTTCGATCTGGTTAGGACGTGTCCCGTAAACCGATTTCCAAAGTGGTTTTATGATATTACAGAACAGAAATATAATGGAATTACAGTAACTTATTTTGTAGACTAGTTTTAATTCTAAAACTGATACTATGAGTCCCAAGGTTTCGGTATATGTTCATTATTCTAAGAATTATTTTGTACAGAGATCCAAACTAATTAGTTATGCAGCCGACTATACTTTTAAATCTTAGTTGCTTACTTTGTTTTCATCAACTTTTTTTAAAAACCGTAAACATTGGAATTTGATAAACAAAAAGTAAATAAAAGTTGAATTGTATTTACAAACTCATAATGATGTAAAAATATTCTAATCAACTCTATGTACAGTGTATTTTCTGTATATAACTGTGACGCAAATGATTTGTTCAACTGAAGAAATATTCTGCTTTCATAACTTCGGACAAATCAAATGAACCTATATAAATTATATAAAGGGAAACATTATATTGCTTGGTATTTAAAAGTAGTTTAATGTTTATTAAGGTAAATTATTGAATACAAATAGAAAAGTGCATATTTTATGCACACTTATCATAAATAATTCCCACTCATTGAAAATACAAAAGTTAAACAAGGTGATAGTTATGGCTAAATCTATCCAAACATTATGTTGATAAATTAGTGTGTAGAATAAAGAATGATCATTCTCGTTTTACATGAAACTTTATTTGGATGCCTGCGTATCCAAATGACCATTACTATATTTAACCGAAACGTAACTATAGAAATGCCAGACATGATCCAAATGGATATATACATATCTTTACAGGAAGCTGATATGAAAACAGAACCATTTGTGTTCGGGAAAACTTGACACAAGCTCAAATAAAATGTTTTTTGCACAAAAAGTGGATCTCATAACACCGTAACGTAACGGTGGATGATAAGTTCAAGTTTTATCAACAAAATAAAAACTAAGGTAGATATCTACAAACAATAGACAAGAACAATAGTTTCACATCAATGCATAAGCTTTAAAAGAGCCCCCAAATGCCCTGGTACGGCCGAGAGTGAGGAGAGTCCGCTCTCCCTCTCGAAATGCTCTCACATGGCCACGCGTATACAGCCTCTGCCAGGGAAGTCCTACTCACTGCCTTCTCGTGGCGGGGGTGTTGTTTACGAAAATGAGAGGACGAAAAACGAACGTCCGGCGCTATAACCGGATCCCAAATCAATGGCGCACATGGGCTCCAGTATCCTGAGGGAACAAATGGCGTATGAACCAATCGTTGGTCACCGGCTACCATGAGACTGCATCTCCTCACGATGCTCCACTGCCTTGTGGACTAGACCTTTAGGTCAAAGGCTCGGGGTGTGGCCCCTTAAGAAAACCACCTGCTTCGGTTAGGGCACCCGGGCAGTATCACAGCCCTCACACAAATCAATTGAGATTCGTGTGGCGCATATGTATTTGGTGCTTCCTTGTACCAATACCTATGTGTTAAAATAATAATAATAATAATAAGCTTTAAAAGAAGGATTTTATTTACGTGCTAACTAAAAATTAAGTGTGAAATGAAGACAAGAAAAACTTTCACTGTCGCGATGATCATTGAAATGTTTAAGATTTTAGAAACACATGGTGCATGTAGATATGAAGACATAAGAGGAGTCAGTGGCCAACCATACCCCGTATACATTATCCTAAGGGGGTGGAAAAATCCCCGAATATGAACTACGTTTTTTGGAAGTGATGTTATTTGCAATGTTCTGTATAATACTAGAAACATAGAAAATCGAGCGAATGCCGATTAATGAATAGATCCGAAAAAATACAATTGGAAACTGACCTCTTTTAGGGAGATTCGAAAGTAAACGATTGAAAGCCAATGCCTGATCTCGTTTCTTCCCACTTTTAAATTCATTGATTTGTCTAGGACAAAAACGCAGATATATTAAAAACGTAATGATCACTATAAGTTGTGTGTATGAAAGATGAAAATGTGACAAGTGCTTTGAGTGCGGAAAGTTTTTAGGCAAAAAGGTGACTGAATGTAACGAATGACGAAATTTCCATTGCTAATCAGTACTCTTACTTGTATTTGTTTTCCCGTAATTACTAACTAAAAAACGTCGTGTTATCGATTTTAGATTGGTTATGAGCTATACTCATTCATATCTAAACAGCCTGGTTAGTACGGTCACAATAGTTCCTTTTTTTTTCAAGTGAGTCATGTTTCGAAATCCTGAGCTAAACGTAAAAAGAGAATAGTAACTAGGCTTTTATAAAATCAAATTTCTTTCCAAACGAATATAAACAACATTTTTCACTATGTTATTTCATCGTTAGTTATTGATATGATTGTTTTTATTACGAATCCTTATGGCAAGAGTCAATTAGTAGTATCTAACTGATTGTTAAGATTTTTTGAAGATTCCCATAATAAATTAAAATTGCACAGAATAAGATAAACAGGGGGTCGATATCTACTATCTTGAAACTTGGAAAATGCTAGGTACAGATTCAATATCCATAAAATTAATAATCGAAATACATGAAACTAGTAGTACATAACATAAACCAAGAGTATAGTTATTAAACAAGCTATATATATATGATTAAACTCATTAAAATCTTATCTTAAATGGAAAAAAAATAGATTATAAACAAACTACAACTAGAACGAAGTCCAACGTATGGACTGCAGATTTATTGTCCAATCGATTTGCACTTCTTGTTAATACTTAAGACATATTTAGGATTAAATTTAGTGCTAAATAAGCTTTGTTACTGCAAGTAAATTATAAGTTTTGATTTTATAAATAAGAATTTTTAGGGTTCGTTTTTTACTGTCATAGTACTGAAAACAATCCACTGACGATAAGAATAAGTGTAGACAAATTGTTCTACAATAAAACTCGATTGTTGCCATATTCATTGACAAAATTTATATGACAATCCTTTTCGGTAGAATTTGGTTCTCTGAGCTGGATTGTCTAGTCAGTTGTGAAGTTTTCGTTGTCGTTCTACACAACATCAGTAAAATCTTTAGGCAGGAGTGAGGTCTTCAGCTTTCTTTATCATCTCAATATATGAAAATACCTTTGGAATCGTATGAAGTTAAAAATATCAACGTACTTGTCTGTATATCCAAACCTTTGTTTTACATAATCAGCAAAATCGCCTAATATTGATTGACTGTGAAGGGCAATAAATTCTTCACGGCATATCTATGAATAATGTAGTATGAGGAAAAGTTAAATTATGAGAATTTCGAAATCTTGATATTGATTTAAGTGAGTAAAATAAGCAAAAGATGATCAGATATTAAATTAATGGGGTACTATTGGAGATTTTTCCTAGTTGAATTCAACAAGTGAATGGTTGGAATACAGATTAACAACCTAATGATGTACAGAGGTATGCGAGCGTTTATATGAAGGGGGAAACATGGAAGTGTAGTTTGTAAATGAAATGACATTCCATCTTGTGTTATTATCCGAGCTATTCAAAAGACTACATATCTTCAGCATTTCCACTTAAAATGACTATATTGTCTGTCTATGGCATTAAAATAGCGCGGCAATACTAATGAGAAAACATACTGTAAATAAAAAATACAGACCTCTGAATAACATAAATGCAGATGAGAGATACTTATTCATTTTGACTCAAAGACAAACGCTCGAGTAAACAACCTTTATAAGTATATTATACTGAACAGATACTCCCTATAGAAAAATCACTGAAAAAGTGTTCATAGTGTATTAGTAAACAGAAGTGTAGCTTCTCATATTTTCACGTTTATTCTAGAAAGATTTGGTGCCTAATAGAATTAGTGAGTTCGAAAATGAGATTAATCGTCATCATCCTGATAAGAGGCATAAGGTAACTTATATACTCTATCTTATTGTCTATAATTGCTTTTTTCAGAGAGTTTACTTAACCAAGTGGTTTAATTAACGACGGCAGGTAAGTATTAGATTCTTCTGAAGCAAAATAGAATCCCGAAATGTTTTTATTCTTTGCTCGCATATGTGATTCCTGTTTTGTACATACTATTGAACGTAATATTATTCCAATAAAGTAACGTAATTTAATAACTGTACACTATGTCTCATATGTTACAAAAGAAGTCCCAGTGTTACAAATATTTATGTTTTTCACGTAATTTGTGATTTCTATTGCTTACAGACAGTTCCCATCACTATTGTTATTAGCATCATCAATAAAATGTTTATTATTACAATGGAATAAACTAAAAAAAATGGTTATTAGATAAATTAAGGAACTGGTAATTACATTATTTTCGAACTATGAAGTTTTAACTAAAACTGAGATTATTGAAATTATGTGTGCATGAAACATTTGAGTAACCGAAATGAACGCTTGGTATATCAATCTCCACATAAAGGATAGAATGAGAACACATAGAATAAGCGCTACCATGCCAAGAACTTGCAAGTTATTTATTTATTTATTTGAACACATAAATATTGGTACAGGTGGGCACCAAATATATATGCGCCACACAAAACAATGAGAATTTGAAGAGAAGGAGAAAGGAGAAAAAAAAGTAATGAACGTGGGGAATAAAAAAAAAAAAAGATAGAGAACAATGGTGGGGGAAACGGAAAGGTACAATCAGAAGAGATCTTTCAGTTAAGAAAGATACAACCACTTTTATGAAAAAAGTAAAAGAAGGTTACAGCAGGATCGCCACTGGCTTCTATTCTGAGCCATATCTGATAACGTCGTCTAACATCCTCAACTCGGAGAGGCCAGGTTTCACAAGCATAGAGCAAAACTGCTCTCACCGTCGCGTTGTAGATCCGATCTTTTACAGCCAGACTAACATCACGAAGGCGCCAAAGATGGCCCAGATTGGCATAAGCCGCTCTGGCTTTCACTATACGTGCATTGATCTCATCACTCACGCCACCACTAGCATTTATGCAGCTACCTAGATACACGAACTTCTCGACTACTTCTATCTGCTCGCCATCCAGAGTGAGTACAGGATTAGAATCCTGCCAGTCTTGTAGAAGAACTTTGCACTGCGAAGGTGCAAAGCACATACCATACCTACGGACACTGATTGCCAACTGATTAAGTGCGGATTGCATGGCTTGAACATTCTCGCACAGTAAGACAATATCATCCGCATACTCAAGGTCGAGGAGTTTTTCTTCAGGCAACAGATCCACACCACCATTACTTACATCCATCAGAGCTGTTTCCAGAATGTCATCGATGGCAAAGTTGAAGAGGAATGGTGAGATTGGGCAACCCTGCCTAACCCCACTGCTTGAATGGAACAATGCAGAAAGGTGGTTGTATGCCCTCACTCTGCCTGAGGTGTTTGTATCTAGGGCTTTTAGGATGTTAATAAACTTCTCAGGTACACCCTTCTTCAATAGACATTCCCAGAGAACAGTTCTGTCCAACGAATCGAAGGCAGCCCTGATGTCAAGAAACACTACAATTGTTGGCCTTTGATAAGTATGACGGTGTCCTAACATTTGGCTGAGGGTGAAGATATGATCAATACATCCTCGACCAGAACAGAACCAGCCCAGTCAATGTTTCTCGGGTTTTGAAAAATCTACGAAGTATAACGGAAGCTAATAGCTTGGACGCAATCGGAAGTAGACTTATCCCCCGATAGTTGTTACAGGAGCGACGTGAACCCTTTTTAAAGATAGGGACAACTATCGACTCATTCCATGACGTTGGTACACTCTCTAGTTCCCAGACCTTTGTGAACAACGTCGTCAGTCCCTTAGTCAGAAAGTCACCACCATCTTTAGAAAGGGCCGGAGGTAAGTCGCCTGGGCCCGGTGATTTGTAACGTTTCAAGAGTTAGGGTTCCTAGCGGACTTCCGCCTCATTTGGTGGATCAGTTGTCACCGGCCATGGAGGGCAGGACAGCCTGACCGATGTTGCCGGAGCAGCAGGCCAGTTGAACTACCCTTCAAAGAATTCTGCCCATCGTCCAAGACGTCGATGGATGTTAGTGATTGGCGTTCCGTCATCCTCGCAGATTGTTTCGCTCACACCAAACTTCTTGCTGCCAGTGGCTCGGATGAGTTGGAAGAGCTTCCGGTAATTACCAGTTGCAGCTGCTGCTTCCAGCTCATTAGCACGCTCCGACCACCAGGCTTCTCGGTACTTACGCAAGCTTTGCTCGATTTCATTACGTAACATTCTTCGTCTGTGGTCAAACTCACGATCACCCGGAGTAGACCGACGGGTTTCAATCAGTTGTAAGGAACCAGAAGAAACCCAGTGCTTGTAAGCGGGACGTTTCGCGAACCCACAACAGACTGTATCCGCCATTTTCATGGCGTCATGCAATTGCAACCAATGCTCATCTATACTTTTCGGTGGAATGGTAGCTAGCCTAGAAGCTAGCTCTGTTCGGTACTTACTAGCAACAGAAGTTGCGGCCAGCTTGCTAACATCGATCCTTTGGTGGCGGTCACTTCGTTGTCCACTGAAAAGTAAGGTAAGATTGGCGCAGACCAGATTCCAGATAGGTACTCGAAAAGGAGCGGCAGTCTTGTACACAACCGCGCCAGCTGATCGCGATGTGATCAATCTGAGTCCAGGCTATAGATGAAGAAGGGGGACGCCAGTGGCACATCGGCGATGACTGTGCCGAAAGTTAGTGCTAGCCAGAAACAGGTTGTGGTCTGTGCATAGTTGCAGTAGACGTTCCCCGTTATCTGTCCTGCGACCAACGAGTTCCCACCGGCCACCTAAACGACTCTCTTCTGTGCCTAGATGCCCGACCTGAGCATTCAAGTCTCCAGCTAGTACTACAATATCTGTCGAACGCACTTTCTGGAGAAGAACAGTCAAGTGGTGGTAGAACTCGTCCTTGATTGCATCCGGGCTGCAATCTGTCGGGGCATAGGCGGAGATGATGAAAAGACATCGTTTCTCACGCCGATTTCTTCTCACTTTGATGGAACTTTCTAATCTAACAGCACATAACCGACTGTTAATGGGGATCCAATCGATCAGTGCTGCCTCAGCTCTAGCGCTTAGTGCGACACCAACGCCAGAAAGACCAGACGGAGATGCCACAGTGTCCCCGGATAAACGCAGGTAAAACAAGCTTTTTGAAGTGACCGATGGAGAGCGAACTTGTAGTACTTCACCAGAGTCTTGAATACGGGTCTCGGATAGACAACACACATCAATATTAAGACTTTCCAAAGACATAGCCAGCCCTATCTGTTGTCCGACCTGCATAAGTGTGCGAACGTTGAATGGTGCACGTGGTTTCAGAAAAACTGCTTCAGTACTCGTATTAGGTGGCAACATACAATTTTCAACCAGGCAGTGACTCGAGAACGTTTAGATAAAGCTGAATTTTTACCATAGGCGAGCTGCTGTCTGAGTCGAAACGGATACAAAAAGTAGAAATAGGAGATAGTGAATAAATGACGTAGTAAATAATAATAATAATAATAATAATAATAATAATAATAGTACCAGTCATTTCAATGTTAGTCGGAGGGAAACGAATATGTTCCATAAGCAGATAGTTCATCATGGTTTTAGTGTGTGGGCTGAGATACTGCCCAGGTGCCCAAACCGAAGCAGGTGGTTTTCTTAGGGGGCCACACCCCGAGCCTTTGACCTAAAGGTCTAGTCCACAAGGCAGTGGAGCATCGTGAGGAGATGCAGTCCCATGGAAGCCGTGACCAAAAGTTGGTTCATACGCCATTTGTTCCCGCAGGATACTGGAGCCCATGTGCACCATTGGTTTGGGATCCGGTTATAGCACCGGACGACTGCATGTGTGTGAAATAAACTGTAAAAAACATTTGACGTCGATGAGGTCCAATGATATTACACGTATAAATTGTTGACTCCGTAGTTGGACGAATGAGATATTGCCCAAAACAGATTAAACAAACAGATAACTAAACTCAACTTCACAATGCCAGTTAATTTACTCAGCATTTTAAAATACAAAAGAACATGAACTAAAAGATAAGGAAAAACAGAGAGGATACCAATAATTAGTGTAAATTAAAGTTCTTACTCGATTCAACTTATCTACAGTAGCTGCGTGAGTCCAAAAACAATCATGCACAGAGGCGAAAACAATGCCTTCTTTTAAGCACTGCAAACCCGTTAGCATCATATGACATGAATCTAATGAGTGAATAAAATTCGGTGGAAAAGCACTCGTCTGTTTAGATGATTTTGGCAATGATATAAAATTGTCATCCTTTTTATCATTCTTTAGTAAATCTAGTTTTTGATTATTGTCAATAAGTTGACTATAATAGTTAACGGTATAATCATAGGAATCAGCTGAACTTTTATTTGACTGGATATATGGTTGTATAACTGGTAGACCAAGAGGAGTTTGCCAGCTAACTCTATGTTGTAAATCTCCAGATATATATTTGGCAATCTAAGAGAAAAGTACAAAACACCAATAAATTAGACTAGAAACAAATCTTTACATACCATTTACTTGGAAAACATGGGATATTGGTGAATCGGAATTAAGAAGTTCTTAATTACTGATTTGATGATCTACACAACTGGGTCTGAATCATATCTGGATTTCAAGTTAATCATATAATATTTTGTTCAGTCATCTGATTCATTTCACACAACTCTCCACCCGTATACAGTTCAATAGATCAGGTACGAATAATATACCCTGTAGATAATTTCCTATCCCATCTGGTTTTCATTAATTTGTTCTTGAGTCATTTTTAACGTTGATTAATACATTACCGTAAAAGTGGTGTGAAGTATTAGTACTTTGATTTTAAAATAAATGATTTTATTGTTTTAGGGAGACAAACGTAAAGGTTAAAATGTAATTCAGTATCAATAAATATACTATTTGTGATATTCCAATGAGTATATATATATCAAGTCCAATCTTGGTATTGATACTTGAAAACTCAGTGAATAAGTATTATATTGTAAAGGAAGAGTTAATAATCAACAGAAATTGATCATTGTACTTATCATAGAGGTCTCACTAGCTTTAGTGAATTGGTGTCCAATGAAGTCTTGGGACAGATTAAGGAAGCTTTTTTTGATTTTACCAACTTTCTTCCCATGCAGTGTAGGTGAGATAACCATCTTCAAACAGAATCGCGGATAAACAGTGCGGCAGTTTGCTCTGTAATTCTCTATCGATGTGAAACGGGTTGCGAAAGTAAAGGACTTCAGTAGACTGAAGGTTTTTGATCACACGTGTCACCGATGCATTATTTGTGCATTGTGACATAACTAAATGGGCAATGCTAGATAAAAAATGACAAATTGGTATTCAAAGCCGAAAATTTCTATCGACTGAGACATGTGCAACATGTCCATAACCATTGCAAACCTCGAAATGCAATTTTGGCTGGAGTGATAGAAAGTTGGAAGAAAGATAAGGGCGGCCAAACAAAGATATGGCATCGGTTCATAAAGTTATTGATGGATGGTCTGAACAATATTGATAGGTGCAGACTACCTGGTTAGAGTCTGCGTGATCAGTGCTTGGAAATGTTGAGTGACAGCTCAGAATAGGTAGAGGCAGTGCATATGTATTCACAACTTATCTTCCTTCAGGTCTTGAGTTCCACTATTTCTCGAACCATATCTCCAATGTTTAGTCATTCGCATTGGCCACTACGGTTATTTCAACTTCTTTGTTATTCAGCTTATCAATTTCCTCTCGTGATACTGACGTACATATGTGTCAGGTTTAACGCTGATTACGACTAGTGACTAAGCCGTAAATAAAAGGCGATGAAACATTATTAATGTATTTTGCTGGAAGTATTTCTATTTTTTGGTTTGGGATTGTGGAGATTGCTGAATTTCATTGAAATCATGAACCTATCTAAATCAGACCACAATTGAAAACCTGAGAGCATTGCTCATCCACGATCCTGCACATGGGGTTCGAATCCTGAACCTTCGCTTTTGCACAAAAGCTTAACCCCTAGACCATTGAGCCATCATCCAACGGAAGATGGTCGTGCCACATCGTGGGTTTGTTAAAGCAAGATATTATCTATATGTGAATGCCAACTCAGTGGTCTAGAGATTAGGCGTTTGCGCGAAACCAAAGGTCCCGGATTCGAATCTCATGTGCAGGATCGTAGATATGCACTACCGAGAAGTCCCATACTAAGACAAAACGGCCGTCTTGTACTTCCAGGTTTTCAATGGTGGGCTAACATTGATCAATTCATGATTTCAATGTTTTTTTCCTTAAAACTCTTATCATTTACTAATTTTCGTTTTATATGCTTTGAATACTGTAACCTGTCTGTTCACACATTGTGAATATACTTTAGGTTAAGCGTATTTTGAAATTAATGAAATGTCGTATTTATGATGCTTGGAGGAAAATAAAAATAAGTAATTCGCAATGGAGCTATCCATAGCAGTGTGTATTTTGGATAAATTTCTTTCATTAATGTATAACAATTTTACCATAGCTCAAAAGCATGTTATCATGGTAAGTTTTTGAACGATACTGAAAATTACATGACATATAACAACGAATATTATTAGGTTTACTTGTAACTGACATCATCGGAAAAATATTACAGAGTAGAGTAACCCATATTATAAAACTTATATGAGAAGAAAATAATTAAGTTTTAAAACGTCCTTCGAAGGCATGCAACTGTAAGATTTAATGTAAAAACACAGTAACGGGATACTAGTTTAGGCTACACATTGTAAAATGCAACTATAATACTTAAATGACACAACATAGATGAAGCGATGTTAAAATCTGTGACTTAACAGTTGAAGTTCCAATGCTTTGACTAAGAAAAACTGTTTTAGAAGCAAATTACAGAATGTGATAGATATTTTATGCAGGATGCAAATGTAGCAGTGAAAATCACTAAAATGTGGATGGTAGTGATGAATTTCAATATTAGATTAAATGAATAACTCGTTTTATTATAGTAAATTCTTGTTTTTAAAGGAGTCTATTGAGACAAAACTGTGAAAAATTCCTAAAAGGAATAATGGTGAGTTCAGCTATATGATAAACCGAAAATATTATTGAAAATCAAGTCACATAAAAAATAAAATAAACCGTTACAATAAGAATAGTGAGACATTAATCGACAAGGTGATTACTTTGCAAAGCCAATTTTGAATATCAACTGAAGATGTAAAAACTTTTTCGATACTATTCAGTGTTAAACGAGCCAAATATCTAGAAGCAGGGAGTAAAGACTCTTTGGGAAAATCAGGTAGGTCGCGAAGTTGTTTACGGATTTGTTCAGTAGCCCCATATGGAGTAACACCATAAACCGTAGTCATTATAGACTGTTTGATAACTTTACGCCGAACAAAACCTTCAAGTGTTTTAGCAATAGAGTTCCCGCCATCTGCGTCGATACGCCTTTGTTCTTCTACCTAGTAAAAGGGGAAAGACTCAAGTTAAAATATACATTAAATATAACACCTCTAGATAAGAATACAGAGTTGCGTAAACAGACTAATGAATACTTACGATTTCAACAACGTCACTGTACAAATCTTGTGGATAATCCATACTAGTTAGATTAACTGATTTTGCACCTCGAAGATCACGGCCTAAGGCGGCATAATGTTGTAATCCATTACAAGAACCATCTTGATGGACAGGAAAATGAGAAACATATGATTCTGGTCCAGATGGATGTGACAAAGCGTTTTTTAATTCAATACAACAAGCTAAGATTTGCCATGGCTCTGCTTGATTTTGCCACCATCTCCTACCCTATAAAAGAAATCGAAAAATACTGGACAGTATAAATGACAAGACAATTAATGAAGCAGATGTTCTTCATTATTTAAATAGTGTCCAGTGAGAAATGGAATTTTCTTTCGGAGGACTAACTGATTTATACGAATGCTCGTCAATATTAGAACGAATAGTTTGACAGAAATTGGGCGCTGAGTATACAGAAGACATTATTTGTAAAAATTATATTTGAAAAAATCACGGCGATTGAAATTTATCTAATTCCAACGTTTCGTTCAGACAACTTGTCTGGACTTCTTCAGGATAATAATCAAAACTAAAATTATTAAAGAAACATATAATGTTTAAAAATCAAATCTTTACTGTGCTTATCCAATTACATTCAGATGTTGACTTTAGTAAGTTATATATGCGAATCGTGTGAACAGTTCACAATGTGAAGATAAATGAATGGATGAATTATATGTGTGTTTATATAATTTTCACAAATAAGAACTAACTGAGCCTTGAGAAAATTCACAAGTTCCCTAAAAAAGCTGCATCTGAGTAGATCCGATATCTAGGAATGTTTAACTAACAGTTCATCATAAACGTACATAAAGGATCATTTCAAATATGATGAGAACTGTTAATAAATCTTAGTTAAGTCAACCATCAATTTAAGATGTCTGTTGTGAAATGTAAGACTTACTAAACTATAGTGGATGACATCAAGTCTCGTTAAAGACTTATATAAAAAGTTGGTGAACGATAGTTAAGTTGAGTAATACCCGTAAATATACTTTAACTAATTGTATTATTTGGATTTATAGTGAAATCATCGAAGTAAGTGACTTATGTATCTTTCGGTTGTTCTTCGTAGATGCATCATGTATCTATATGTAATTAGTTGTAGGTTGTGGTCTAACAATTTAAATGTATGAAATAGAGTATTGTGGTCAGAAGTATTATTGTTATACGAACTGTTTGTCATTAAATAAATTGGCTCTGGCCCTTTGGAAAATTAAAGGTGGAAGAGATGACTTATCGAGTATCTTCAGTAGTGAATATGTACCTATACTTCTTCAATATGTATGTACACCAGGCTAGAAATCATAAAAAACTTTAGGAGTAGGATAATGTGGAAGGCTTTAGATTTGTTTGGCGAAGCATTGATTTGACACGCACCTCACAACAAAAGCATTAATTTACGAAGGTAACATTTAAGATAATCTGATCACCTTAAAGTAAACAAATAGTTCAATGTTGATAAAATGTGAAATCTTCTTAACATCTTGAGGGCGAATTCATTTTCGAATCCTAATTTAAAAAGTGTCTATTTGAATCGTTTGAACTACTAACTTCAGTTAAATATTAATGAAATTGCATTCGTTTTCTTATAGTTCTACCAAGTACAATGATCTGATTAGTGCTGAGAAATTAAGATTAATTAGACAATGAGGTTGTATTAACATTGTTTTACTAAAATAAACAAATATCTGTCATTATAATAGGTAACAGAATAAAAATTTATTTTACTTCATTTATCACTTCAAAAAATAGTAATTGAGCATCACAAAATAATTAATGTTAGGTCACCAAAGATAGATAGTTGAATTTTGTTTGTCATCTACTACTCAATGAAATTCTAACCCAACATAAAACTTAAACTATGAAGTTTTATAAACACGAAACCATACTATTAATAAATCAAGACCAATCACCGAAATAGTAATCAAAGTGATGATGATTAAGACTTTAAACATTAACAAATGGAATACTACACATAAGCTAGGAGGGAGATTATAGACTACGTTGCTACTGTACCTTGAAAATAATCGAAAAAGACTTTAATCTTGACTGCAGAGTTTGTCGTCACTTGACGGCAAATCATTTGATAAACACAAATAATCAAATAGAAATAGCTCAAGAGTATTTTTAAAAGATCGAAAATTAATAATGAGTACAACCATTGTCCTTTACCAATGAAAAAATCTTCAATAAAGAAGTAATATATATATATATATATATATATATATATATATAAAAGCAAACTTACATCGAATGGTTTGTCAGCAGAATCAATAATCTCATTCATTATAGAATCGGCATATTCTAAACGTTCTGAGTGAGTGCATCTAACAAGGAAAATTGAGTAACATTATTAATTAAGTTAATGTTTTTTTTCTTTTTCTTTTAAAAAGTTACATAGCTATAGACAAATAAATTAACACAAATACATGTAATATTCAAATACTTGTTCTTTAGAAAGCAAATACAGAAAATATACAATACCTAACACTAAAACTAATTGACTATACATATTATAACTAGGAATAACTTTTTATTTAGGGAATCCTACTAATAAATTAAGAGAAAAAGTAAAAACAAATGATTCTTAAACATTTATATATTGTAAAGTAGCAATGAATATCAGAACATGAACATACATTGTAGTTAGTTAACAATAAAACTATAAAGAATTTTAGCTTCAAATAATGTTAATGATAGTAAGAAAAAGCATAACTATAGTTTTAAGAAGTAGAAATTGAAAAATTATTATACAGTTGTTAAAGCTGTACTGCTTATCTTTTTGCCTAAGGTGTTGCATAATGGTTTCAATATTATCATTATTATCTTGTGGTTTGGTATATCTGTATAGTAGTTAAGCAATTCTATAATCTACTTATACAGTAACCGTTTGGTTTTTATTCGATGAAGCATGAAATTCATTATGTAGTTTAGAAACAAAGTATAAATGCATTTTCATCAAACGACATAGTCCTGTTTGGTGGAAACGCTGATAAAATAAAACCTTTTGGTAGCATTGAGAAATAATGCTAGGATGTTTGAAATGCGGTACTCTCCTTTTAAATGCAAATTTTTGCTTCAGAAGTGGCCTGTGTCAACACCTGGACTAAGGATGGATAGTGAAGTACTCGAACGCGCATCTTGGAAGTCTGATCGACACCAATGGGTTGATGTCTAACAAAATATATGCATGGGATCAGAAAGCTCGTTTGGCTTTTGCCAGCTCACGTTACTTATGGCAAAAAAGAGACATCCGTCTACCAATTAATGGACGAGTATGCTGCACAGCAGTTCGTTCCGTTCTACTATATGGCTGCAAAACATGGCCTTTAAGAGTAGAAGATACTCGTAAGCTACAAGTATTTGACCACAGATGCCTTAGAAATATTGCTGGTATCTTCTGGAATTACCGGGTAAGTAATAGTGAGGTTAGACACAGGGTATTAGGGAATGATGGTAATTCAGTTGATGAGGTTGGGAATCTTCATCGACTGAGATGGTTGGGCCACGTGTTACGCATGTCTGAACACCGATTACCACGACGCTCAATGCTAACCAGTGTTAGGGATAATTGGAAGAAAGTTAGGGGCGGCAAAACCAAAAATTGACATCAGTCCTTGAAGTTTCTAACTTCTAGTCTTAGCCATGTTGGTAGATGCAGACTACTTGGTTGGGGTCCGCGTGACTATCGTAACCAATGGTTGGTGTTGGGGTATTCAGAAAATACCCCAGAAATTATCTAATGCTATTCCTGAATGAGAAATGGTGTCATTTCTCCATTGGTCAATATTTATTTGTGTCATTTCCTGGAGGTCAAATCTTGTACAAATGTTACTTTCTATTTTATGGTACGATGTAGTCTGTTTGTTTAGTATAAAAACAGAGTATGTTTGAAATATAATGATTCATATCGCAGAGGCTGAGACCTGTGTTCTGGACTCGACTTGCTGGGTTAGACAGGGCAGCACGACCAATCAGAACTCTAGGCCGCACGCACGTCTCTCTACAGTTATAACAGTTGGAGATTAGGTGACATGGTTCAGAACCGATCGCAATGGCGTCGGTGTATACACTCTGTCTTCCCTTAAACTATGGGATTAAAATTGATTTGTCTTTCTTTCTACCAACTAATTCTTTCTTCCTTTACTGTATGCAATCTTTTAAATATTACCAATATTGAAGTAAATACTTCTATGAATTCGGTGTTTATCTTGTGCCAATGAGATATGGCAACTTGGACGGATGCACATATGTGCCTGGTTATACGATGTAGCTGACTGAGAGCTATTAAACGACTTGGACTGAAATACGCACATTGGTTACGAAAACATTAAACAGTGGATATTTGTACACTTAATTACAAGATGTTGTAAACAATGGACAAGAGACAATTTAAACTAATTAAGAATATTTTGATAAAATTTGTACAGGATTAACTTATTGGTTTATTATTTGAGAAAATAAACAAATCTATTTGGAATTTTCATGATATATTAGTGCACTGTTCATTTAAAATAATCTACCTCTTACCTCTTCTTTAAACCTGTTAAATTGACTAAGTGAATTTTAAGCCAATCTAAGCCATTAGGACCAAGAGGTAATCCCTTTGCAAATACAATAAGACTTCTAGCCACATCACTACCTAAATGGATATGAGTTAAAAAAATATTTCACGTTATACTTGACTATACAACATTTTAAAGATTCATACAATCAGATGTAATCACTCGAAGTAAAAAAGTGACTATCAGCTGCTATATATGCATAATATTGTGGTACAAAAACCACTTGTCCCTTTTATTCAGTAAGTAAGCAAAACATTACGCGTATCGAAGTAAAAAATTAAATGAATAGCTATACTTTCGGTTTGATTAATTATCACTTTTAAACTTAAATACAACAATTTGAAGTTAAGTATACTAAAAAAAGCCGATCTGAAGTGTAAAAATTACTTTTTACATAGGAAAGTACTGAGGAGATAAAAATGTTTATTTTTAAAGTACTAAATAATAAAAGCAATGTGATACTTTGTGAACAACTAACATTATTACCAAGTTCCAGGAACCCCATTAATTGATGCCTATTCCCCACAATGAAAATGGAGAAATGCATTCATGTTTAGAACAGTTGACTTTCAACCCATAGATTGAAGATCCAGACCCTATCCCATCTGGCATGATTTAGGTTTTATATTAGTTTATGGCCGTGGACTTTAAAAATAGGATATCTATAGATTACAATTATTTGACCATAGATGCATTTAGAGCATTGGTCATTTATGTTGGGATCACTAAATGAATGCCGAGGCAAGACAACACCTGATTTTTTTGGTGAAAGCAACGGAAAGGGGACAAATGAATTCGCTATTCTCCTTTCCAAATATGAGTGCTTTATTAGACCATATTCACTTTTTAAATATCTGTTTATCAATACATTCTGATTTATTTATAAGTATCTGATGTGGGATTGTTGAAGTGTTATCGTTGAACATTTAATTAGATCTCAATCACATGATTATACTATCGATGTCATAAATCGACCAAAGTTAGACATCCATCAAAAACTGGGGAGCACTGAACAGTTATTCTGTTCTAGTACGAAACAGTTCAGCGGTGGGGGACTTACGATCCTATGGGGACAGGACTCAGAAATTCATATCTTGTGCATAAGCACTTAACCTCTAAATCACTGAGCCGGAACCAAATGGTGTCTAACACTTCATGATATTGAGCTACTATCTTCCATTGTCTCCTTTGGTTGATTGCCTCACATCCAACTCGTTTGCAGCACACTAGTCATGGTGAGAAATTCTTGTTTTAAGACTATATTACTTATTAGTAATCAGGGTTCATCCCCTTCTCTTATACCTTACTATTTTATTACTATTTATTTTATTTAAACACATAGGTATTGGTACAAGGAGGCACCAAATACATATGCGCCACACGAATCTCAATTGATTTGTGTGAGGGCTGTGATACTGCCCGGGTGCCCTAACCGAAGCAGGTGGTTTTCTTAGGGGGCCACACCCCGAGACTTTGACCTGAACGTCTGACCCACAAGGCAGTGGAGCATCGTAAGGAGATGCAGTCTCATGGTAGCCGGTGACCAACGATTGGTTCATACGCCATTTGTTCCCTCAGGATACTGGAGCTCATGTGCACAATTGGTTTTGGGTCCGGTTAAAGCACCGGACATTCGCTTTTCGTCCTCACATTTTCGTAAACAACACCCCCGCCACGTGAAGGCAGTGAGTAGGACTTCCCTGGTAGAGGCTATATACGCGTGACCATGTGAGAGCATTTCGAGAGGGAGAGCGGACTCTCCCCACTCTCGGCCGTACCAGGGCATTTGGGGGCCTTATACCTTACTGGTTAAACTGGCTATGTTTTTCACTTGGTACTGTTTGGCTTGTATCTTCCTACTGAGGTTTAAGACTGCAATTGATCAGTCTGTTATTGGCATATGTGAATACTGTGCGCATGCCTTGATATTGCTTCAATTCACAAGCTTTTTGTAAGCAAGCCACTATCCATCATTGCTTACAAAATGGCTATGTTCTTATTGGTTGGAACTTATTTTACGCGGACAGCCATTTTTAACCCATTTTTTTTACGTTCGGTTAACGGTTGACTGCTGTTGTTGTCTTATCGCCTTGAATTCGAGCTTAAATTTAACTAATAATGATTTATTGTAGAATCGTATATATATATATATATATATATATATATATATATATATATATATATATATATATATATATATATATATATATATCCAAGTAACCAAGACAATCTTCTGACTCAAATAGACCTCGAGTGCGTTATTCAAGTGAACACAACGGTTATTTTAGTGAATCTGACACATGGCTACTCACCAGAATTGTCTACTGGATCATAGATTTTCTTCGTATTCAACTCCTCAAAACACAGAAGATCTTACCGTCTATGAGCTCAAGCCAGAATTGTGTGTACAAAAAAGTAAGTTCTATCGTTATGGTTACCTTGGCCTTCATCTTTTATTATTACAATAAAATCATTTTAATCATCTTACTGCATTCACATTATAACTGGTTGCTAGCTTATCAATGTTATTGTTACTGTCCATGTTACGTAGTCTGGTATTATAACCTTTCCATTGCGTCATCATGTTCATTCCTTGTTCATATGCCCTCAGGGAACCAGTACTTATAACATATACGATTGTACAGCCTGATAATAAATTCGTTGAAAAGAGATCCCTTCACTGGACTTCGCGTTTCTAATTAATAACCTCCAAACAACTATATACTGACATAATTATACGTTTGAAAACCATTTATCTTTCTCTAAGCTCATATTTTGAGGAAACTTATCATACGCTTGTAACAAAAATACGAAAAAGCTTAATTAACCTAAGAAATGCACACAGGATATCAGACTACATACCGGTATGATTGAAATGGGGAGGACAAGGATATACACGACCACGGAAATCCATACTATGTGGAAACCAAATAATTTTGTCACGATACTATCAAAACGGAAGATTTATAAATAGAAAAAAAAATAATCATTAACATGTGTTTAAAAAAATGCGTTAAATTTACGTCGTGAGTAGATACAACTAAATGATGAGAGAGTAGCATCAGCCCACATATGTATGGACACACTAAATTGAAATAGATTGTAGAATCGACCTTAGAAACAATATCAAATGTTTCTATTAAATTCCCTTCTGAATTTAGAATTTCTACATTTAACTCAGTCGTTATATTAGAACCCTTGTACAGATTCTACGATTATAATTGCAATACCATATTGATGGTGTACAAAATGGCTCAGTACAGTTTGAGAATAAAGGTCTATTGATGGACAATTTATTTGACAGAACAGTTGAATATGAAATTTTATTGGGAACGTAAATCGAAACAGAAACTGAAGACATAATTTGAAGAATTAATAAAAACAATTTTATAGTGAAGGAGCATACTTGATTAGCTATAGATAGTCTGTACACTTCAGTGCTCCACAGTGAACAAAATTCACCATAATCTTGTCTATCATCATGGTACTTTCTGTAGGCGAGCCGACGTTCTTTGGCGGTCATATCACTACAATATACGCATATATATTCAGAGAACACAAGATAATTATGTAAAACACAGATAATATAGAAAAGGATGTGTATTTATCAGTTAACTTGCTCTAGTGCAGCAAGGTACATAAGCCGTAGCCAGAGCTTGCTTTCAACTCAGATACGAGAACATGTCCCAGTGTGGTTCTACACGTGTGAGGAAAGCGGTTAGGAGTTCTATTCTTGGGAATTGAATATATTCTAATCATTTCACTAATCCGCGAGTTGGTTTGAAGGTTGTTTATACGATTCGTCTAAATCTACACAGATTTCCTCGTATATAACTCCTTAAAACAAAAGCGCTTCTCACCCATGAAATGAAGGCAGAAGTGTGTATATTTGTTTACCATGGTCTTTACTTATTGTTACTTTATTTTATTTCGCATATCAAAATCTCTCCATCATTAATTATTTCTCATATCCGCATGGTTTTATTCATAATTGTTTCTGATATCACTTCATTTAATCCCTCTGTGTCTGTCTGAATCATTTTGACAGAAAACATCTTAATTATGTCACTCTATTCATAATATAATTCATTGTTAACTTATTGATTTTACAAGGCTTTTCATTTGCACATTTGTTATTATTTACACTATATAATCGAGTATTATAACCTTTCCATCACACTATCATGCTTATTCAATGTTCATATGTATCTGTGCAATACGTGCTCTATAGAAATTGATGATGGAATTTTGCAATTACCTTGAAATAGATAGTATACACGTAAATTACGAGAGATGCCTCAGTGAAAAGTATAATAGACAAATTACTCTAATCAAATATCTTCTTTACAAGTTAGATAACATTCCTTTGGAAAGTTTATTAACGACACACCCTAGCTACTTATATACGAAGCATAATATCAACGATTTACTACCTAGATGAATCGGAAGGCACTAGAAATCATCTTCATACTCAAAAGTAAATTGATTACTGGAAAAAATAAGAGAAAAAACTGTCAAAAACACGGAATTTCGCTGGTTAAGCTCAACACTGATAGAATTTTGACACTAGTTTCTGTTTGATGAAATAATGACTCAATAATGTAAAGAAAATGGCACAGAAAAACAGCTTCATACTGTAGCCTAGTAGTGTTCAGAAAGAAAATTGTAGACCATTCTCAAGGTAGTTAAGAAGAGAAAATGCAGTTATGTTGGGCGAACTAACGATATCAAGACAAAAACTTTAAGGCACAAATGTAACTTGTTTAAATATGTTTATTCTTACTATATATAATCAAAGCATTATGCAGTAATTGGATTTACGGCAAGTTTATTATAACAATTCATAAGTGCAACGAATGCAACTAGTTAGTTACCTCTAGATCAACAGTAGTTTAAATTTTAATGACAACAATATGTGGCTAATTATGTATAAAATCCCAAATAATTCTTTTAACATTTGATAAATTCAGTAAAGAATAAGTCCTAAAAAGATAATTCTATGAAGTGGTATAAGTTAAAATATTCATTTGTTATATACAAATTATGTACACATACGTACTTTCTAAGAGCGAATGAAAAACAGATAAATTTTACACTGATAATGAACATGTATGAATAATTAATTTCTTTTGAAAACTTACTTTCTCAAATCCACACGTTTAGGTTTACTTCTCCATTCGGGAATATTGAGAGTTTCATTGCCACCAGAACGTGCCACTTGAATAAGATAGTCTAAAATCTGACGATAATTTGATAAAATATTAGATTTAGTGACTAAAATGTGAACTATGCAATGAATGTTAAATCATATATTACTTGACATGAGTGACTTGTGCTTCAAAAACAACTGAACAAATTATACAGCAACTAGCAGTAGTCTTGATTTTTGAAACTACAGTTATACTACATCGACATAATTTTCCGTTTATTAATCTATTCTTTATGATTGAAATAATGTAGTTGGATTGGTTTATTAGTTATTGGCATTTTAAGCAGTTTATTTACAGTTGATGAATTTAGTGTATTTTGGAAATCTTATTTTGTTTTGTTGAAGTACAGAGATATTTTTTTCAAACCGCGTAACAATAGACTAGATGGTGAGAATCGAGAGCATGGTTTATAGGAGAATGATGCACACACTTTACGGAACAAAATTTGAACAAGAACTGTGACTGATTACTTTGATGATGATTTGTATAATATGAAAAGAAACTGAAAATTTTGAAGAATTTCGGTTATGCTAGAGACCACTATGTGTACAAGACTTAAGGATCAACTACACACTCTTGCGTTTTACGCTGCTATTAAGGAAGTGAATTTTTAGCTAGGGGATGTTAAATTGAAAAAATAACAGTAAGATTATGCATTGATTTTTTATGTGACTTGCACAATATAACATCTAATATGATTTTTTGTTGATTAAGCATGACATTAATTTTTGACTGAAGTTCGCTTAGTATGATAATTTCTGTTTTTGGTAAGCATAAAGATAAGATCTGTGTTTAAATGAATGTGTTCTAATGATTAATACTTTCGTGGAGCCTCTATGGATAGAGCTTCCAAGTGAGCTTGGATTCCTATCCCTAGTTAGTGGGCAGTATTAAAAAGAATAAAAAGCGGTTTCGTTCACTGTTATTGAAGTCGGAATTAAAAATTATTCACTTAGCACACGAAAAGGAAAAAGCGACATCTTCAAACACAACACAGAGAAAATCAACCTAGTCATACTTGATGGAGAAGCTCTGGAGTCTTTCACGTACCTAGGATGTATCATCGATGGACATATAGGATCTGATGCAGACGTAAAGGCGAGGATTGGCAAAGCAAGGGCAGCATTCCTACAGTTAAACAATATGTAGAACTCAAACCAATTGTCAACCTACATCAAAGTGAGCATCTTCAATACGAACGTCAAGACAGTTCTACTGTATGGAGCTGAAACTTGGAAAACTACTACAAGTATTTATAAACAATTTTCCACACAAGATACTCAATTTCCGTTGACCAGATACCATCAGCAACAGCCTACTGTGGGAGAGAACAAACCAGGTTCCAGTTAAGGAGGAAATTAAGAAAGGGCTGTCAGGAATAGAGTTCGATGAAGAATGTTGGTGGTCGGCCTATGCTTCTCTACGAAAGGTAACAGGCGTAAGCAGGTAAGTAACGCACGAACACATTATTTATTCTTCATCTCACTCTACAGATCCTTACCTTTCCTCTGGTTTCTGGAGTTATATTTTCAATGCTTAAGCTTTCCCATTAAGGTAGCAAATACATTAAATTTTTTTTGCCATTCATCCCGGCATGCTAATTACATGATTTATTGAAATCTTTTTCGATGTGATTGTATTTCGATGAAGATGCAAACTTAAAAACATATTTTAATGACTATTTGATGAAAATTGACAAAATTATCATCTAGATTACCACTTTTATCTGACACTTCACGTATAACTTGATAATTAATTAGTAAGTAGGATGTTTTGGAGAAAACAAAAATTGAGACATGTATTTATTTTAGAGAACTACTTAATTCCAGCACTTTTCTTTTATGCCTGAAGATCTTGACGAAGAATGTTACTGAGTGAACGAACAGCTTAGTGTCTGGTGCTTGCCCCCCCCCAGAAACGCTTGTAAATAAATAACAAATTTGCTTTTCTGTATTTAATAGTAAACAAATCAGAACTGATTTTGTGCAGTCTTTTAGTCAGAATACCGGTTTCGCTCTATCAAGTAATTTAGCACAACAATAGAGGTGACAAAATGTCCACCTAGAAGAAAAAAAGCCCACAAAACCCATGATATATATATATATATATATATATATATATATATAAGTTTCCGTTACACGTAAAAAACACTTGGTTCAACATACGGTGTTATTAATTTTCCATGGGCAGGAAGCTAAACAGTTGAGAGCATCTAATATTGATGGAATTTGATTGCAATCAAAGTCCAAGTCATCAAGATAAGTTGGGTTTGTTGATGAAACGCTGGTACATCTAATCAGACGTGTTGCATAATCTGAAAATAAGAAGTAATATTTTAGGATTATATTTAAAGTATTACATGTATGATATCACAATCATACAATAAATTTGTAACAAATAAAGTTGTCGGACTAACTATGTGTGAATTTCTAAGTGGTGCTTATTACCGATTGATATAAGTTTGGACACCATTGTTAAAGCAACCTAATTCAGTCAGTCAGTAACAATGTAAGACCAGGCACATATATGCATCGGTACAAGTTGTCATACCGCATTAGCACAACAAGATGAACACCAAATTCACAGAAGTATTTACTTCAATGGTAGTAATATGTGAAAGAAAGATTGGGTATAAGGATGTAGTACGGGAAGAAAGAATAAGTTCGTAGAAAAAGAGGTATGAAGGAATTCTATTCTCACGGTTTAAGAAGGCAAAGAGTATATACACCTACACCATTGTGATCGATTCTGAGCCATGTCATCTAAACTCCAACCATTGGTTACGATAGTCACGCGGACCCCAACCAAGTAGTCTGCATCTACCAACATGGCTAAGACTAGAAGTTAGAAACTTCAAGGACTGATGTCAATTTTTGGTTTTGCCGCCCCTAACTTTCTTCCAATTATCCCTAACACTGGTTAGCATTGAGCGTCGTGGTAATCGGTGTTCAGACATGCGTAACACGTGGCCCAACCATCTCAGTCGATGAAGATTCCCAACCTCATCAACTGAATTACCATCATTCCCTAATACCCTGTGTCTAACCTCACTATTACTTACCCGGTAATTCCAGAAGATACCAGCAATATTTCTAAGGCATCTGTGGTCAAATACTTGTAGCTTACGAGTATCTTCTACTCTTAAAGGCCATGTTTTGCAGCCATATAGTAGAACGGAACGAACCTAATTAAACGTTTAGATAATCGATTTTCAAAATGCAAATATTGAAATGAACATTTCTGTTTTAGATTTGTTTGAACTAAATAATTATTCGTGTTAATTGTGCTCATTCACGATTTACAATGAAGGGCTTGCAAATTATTATGATGGTAAATACTGTCAAATGAAAACGGAAACACTGGATTTGTTGAGACTCCCTATTCCTTGAAAAAATGAGACAAGTACATTATCATTCATTCATCTTATAAATGATGGATGGAAGAAATAGTTGTATCAGCTAAACATGGTCTACTAAATAATTTATGAAGTAAAATTTTGAATAATTTTAATTTGGGGGCATGTTAAGCATACATTTATTGTGATATTAGAGAAGAGATGTTAAATAAAGGTATTATTATCATTATTTTAAACCAAGTAACACTGGACAGCTATTTCGTCCGCATATGAAACTCTTCACAAGTATACAGCAACGATCTCACTGAGAAATTTTAGGTCTCATGAATAGCGATTAATTATTAGAGAACTCAATTGTAAATCAATGGTCTACATTTTTGACCTCAATCAACTAGGCTGTGAATCAAAAATACATACAAAATTATATTTGTAAAGAAAAATTGAAAAGTAAACATTTCGTGGCATTGGATAAGATAGTCGATATCACATCACTTGCTTTTTGTCCAATTAATCTACACGCAATCAATATGTGCACAGTGGATAGTCGAACATCTTCATCAATTTAATTAAGTGATTTAGCCTATAAAAGATTTTATAACAATCGTGGGAAAGTTAACTGCAAAAGACGCGGATGTTTTCAATTACTTCTTGAAATCAAATAACCAGCATCATCAAGATTGATCCATGGAACTGGTGGACAAAGCATAGGTAGAGCACATGGATGGAAACTTAAAGGTGGATAATCTGCATCACGATACCAGTTAATTAACGTTGGATGAACCTAAAAACAGAAAATAATAATAATGATTAACTTGTATCAGACTGAAATTTTTATCAGATTCTATTTTCAGTACTAATTTCATTGAGGAAAAGTTTAAGACAATTCAGCTGTGCAATCGTTTTTGTAGTTAACTTCTTACAAATAGTGGTTTATAATAAAATAGAAGGGTAAAAGTGTCATTTAAATCTTTTTGTTTAGACAGAAACTGTCGATTGTTGATCTAAGTAGAATGTTTTCTTCTATTTTACCAGACTACTGTTTGTAAAAATTAATTTTAAATACCGTTGTACAGATTAAGTGGGTGACCTCTTTAGGAAATTTTTTTTAGCTTGTCTTTAATTCATCACTAAGATTGAGAATGTTTGAAACCGTACGCAAACGAAACAGTGAAGGGATTCAAAACAAAGGGAGTATTGTAAACAAATTTATTTTATTTCAGTTAATAATAACACACTGGATACTTCAGATTATGTAATATATAGTGAAAATCAAATACTAACCTTAATTTCATTAGTTACTTCAGTTGGGAATTCTGCAAGAACTTCAAAGATAGCTGGAGTATCTTTACGACGAATATTACTACTTGTTTTTTCATCACTTTTTGAGAATTGATGACGAACTCTAAGTGGACCATTTAAGTCAAAACGTAAATGTTCATATATAAGACTGTATAATACCTCACCAATCATGAAAAGAATTGTTGGAGGCCACGAAGTCCAGTTATGTTGCTGATAGTTAAAACAAAATTAAACAGTAGAAACTAACTAATACAGGGAACAATAAATTTCGGTGCTTTTATGCAGTAAATTCAAATGAAGTAAGAAAAGTTTTTGTTCGATCTTGATGTTGAGCGTGGATATATATGTTAAGATGAAAGCTGTACGATTTTACAGGCAGTTGTGTAATAATGTGGTTTAGATTATGTCAAAAACCACTACACTGATAGTTCTAACATATATGACCCGCAAATGTTCTAAACACCATAATGTTTGCTTACTGTGGCAAACAAAAACTTGTGTTTATCGTTTACTTCTTAATTTATTTCAACGATCCATCGATCGACAAGTGAAATCATCTAGTCAAACCTTGATGAAGATGATACACAAAAGGAAATCAGCATTTCTGCCTAAAAGCATGTTCCACAGGAAATCAGCACACAAAAACTTCCAAAAAACAAACAACAAATATTTATTTCTTAGTGAGCGGACAGTGAATTATGCGTAAAAACATTCAATACCGACGGTAAGGGATGAATACAGAATTCACAAACCACTGTTATCAAAAAACCATAAATACAATCACCTAACAAGCAAATACCGAATTATCAAAAGAGTTTTTTGATTAAATTTAAAGAAATAAAACTTAAATAAAAAAACAGAACTAACCGTATTCGGACCTTGATCTATACGTGACTGCAGAGCATATAGCCACATATGCCGGAAATTAGAAAACTTCATTTCATGTTCATTAAACAAAGTAGCATACGTCATGTACATTTTTTCTAACTACAGGAAAGAAACGAATGTATTTTTTGAATAAATTTTGAAACAGTTTTGTGTTTTTTTATAGAATAGAACAAATAATCACTTTCAAAAAATTTCTTGTCAAGTCTATAATGACAGGTATAAATTGATAAAGATTTTGTTACAATAACCAGTGTAAAAGCTTTGTTTAAATCACATTTTTAAGTGATTACATACGGGGACAGTCAAGCTATATAATCAAATGGTTATTTATTTACTAGTTTATTTTCCGTAAACTTTAACATGGTTCCGATTTGTGCTGAAAAATTTCTGCAGATTGAACAAATCTTGAAAAACTAACTACGTAAAGAAAAATTTATATAACTGAGAGTAATAAGAACACATAAAACTGTCCAGATGAAGTAAGTTACAGCATTTTTATTTTATTCAGCAGAGAAATTTAAATGATTGAAATTTAAGTTACAACTGAACACAATATGAGATTCAGGCTGACTTTTTAAACTGATACCACGAAAACTATGTAATTAAATAGAGATTTGTGTATGAGTCTGTAACATTAGTTTTATATATGGTAAAGTAATAGTGAAGACTACGACAAAGAAAAGGTCTACACGTGAATAACATGGTTCGGAAAAGAGAAATGATTATGAGAACTAAATTATAAAATAATATTGAAGCTCGAAGGAGATAAAGAATCAGTGCATTTGATGATTTTATATATGAATACATGGTAGACCTCAAATGATTACACCAGGTAATAATAGACATTTAATTACTTAATAAAGTTCAGCATAAAAAAATATATTTAGAAGGGGTATATATTATCTTACTTGCTTAAAATATCCTATTTTTTCTTGGCGGTATACAGTACAAGCACGTTCTACACGCCGACCAAGTTGAAGACAAGCAATTGATGAAGACGTATACTGTAAAGCTGAATCCACAATTAACATATCAATTCCCTGAAGGAAAATGTAAGAAAGAACATCTACTAGGTATGTAATAATAATGACTATTATGACGAAATACTTGAAAACTATTAGGTGAACAAAATGTTCGAGTATAAAATAATACAAACATTATTCGAAATCACATCAATCAGGAAGCTGTATAATTGTCATATCGTAAACGCGTATATTAGAACACATAATTACAATCAGTTAGTGCTATATCGTTCCTTGAACAAGTGCTTTTCGTATAATATGTTTGTGACAATGCTCAAGCTGATACAAGTGCATAAAAATTCAAGTTGACCAGAATTACAAGAACATGTACGAAGCGAAAGACAAATATTCAAAATCACAACAATTAAATTTATTATATAACTACTGAATATAAAGTAATTGGGAAACAATGATCCACTCAAATAAATAAACATGCAAAATGTAACTACCGAAATCATCAGATCTGTATAATTTGATGCAGGCAAGATCTTCAGGAATGGATAAGCTGTCAGTTTTCCTTCTAGAAGAAATTAATAAAAGTTCTTGATAAATGTTTGATAAGAAGGAAAAGGAAAATGTGACGAACTACCGCAGAAAATTAAAATAATTTAAGTTAGTGTGAATTACTGACTACTTGGTGGAAATAACTTAATATCAAAGGGAATAACTACGACACTAGTAACTCAGTGGTAATAATTCTGATCTTACTGGAGTTATTTGTTTTCATTATTTCTAGGACCTTTCGGAGAAAGATGAGATTTATCCAATAAATATCAATCCAGTACGACCATTCCTTATATTTTGAAACTAGGCTATGGGATGAACAAAAGTAGGAAACGGTGTTTGATATGGTAATTGCTGGTATTGAGAGTGTTAGCTACCAAAGCTAGTAGTTTCTAATGAATTTATATTCAAGAGGGAGTTTGGCACTGACATGGCTTGTATGGTGTTGCCACCAGCTCAGAACGATACAACTAAGAGATGAAGGGATACAATAAACTCTAGAACATTTCAAACTTGTAAGGTTTAGGTCACACAAGTGTATAACAGAACTATGTACACTACAGCTTTGTACATATGACTTTTCACATTCAAACAAACATAAGAAAAGAGCCAGAGATGCCCAAACTAATGTATATTGCAATTTAGGTAACAAACGCAAATAAATACAAAATTGAAGCAAATGAAGCAAAATTAGTTTGGATAAGATTTTGACTGGTTTGACATACAGAGGCTTTTTAAACCATATTACATGTTATAATAAACTAGATTTAAATATTTCTAACTAGTTTGTATAATCTGCTGATCAATAACCTCTGAAAGTCATGAAATCATCATTTTAAATTCAACACTATCATAGTTTGTGTGTAGCCACACAGCTACTGTCCATTATAATTATTTATTGGTAACTTGAGAGATAAAATTGTGCAAGAACTAGTGAATTTTCTTTTGAGAAAAAACTCACTTGCATGAATTATTTTAAGTCTTTTCAACTGTTCATTAAAGGCAGTTAGTAGGATTTTATGCCAATGTTTACGCTCTTCAATCAAAGCATTATGCTAAGTAAAAGAAATAAAAATGAATATTGTACAAACACAAAATTATTGTTGAGGGAATCAATAAAAACGGATTAATATCAAATACTGCAAACCAATATTAGTTACAACATTTTATTAGGTAGAATAACAAACTATCATATATAAATTTATAATCGCAGTAAAGTACGAAATTTATCGAAACTCTAATGATCACAAATCATGTTATGAACTTGTTAGAGTTTGTACTTTCTCGTTGTTGATTTGAAGAACGGCAGCTGATTAGTTTCTATTGATGTATTGGTACTTTTGACAGCATTATACAGATATAACCTTTTCAGTTACAAATTTTTAGCATACTTGGATTGTAGCTTAAGTAAGCCTGTTATCCTTCGTGCAGCATAGGCTGCCAACCAGCAATCCCCAACCTGATCTGTTCTCATCTATCTTTTCCAATTGTTGGCCAGTACTATTCATTCTCTTGATGTTTATCTTCGGTTCCTGGAACAGTGGATTGTTGCTAGAGCAGTGGAATTCAGGACACGATTTTCGTCATTTGAAGGCTTGTCAACTCTCGACTTAGTAGCTTAGTGGATAGTGAGTTGACGTTTGAAGCAACAAGTCATGGGTTCGAATATGAACACTGAAATGAATACATTTGGCTGACGTATCTTAAATAAGAAGGAACGACTATCCTGAATTCCACTATTAACTACGATTTAAATATTACTTATAACTAAACATTATACTTCTGACTATTTCTAAACCACAAGAAAAATTCTTCAATTATATGGCTTTTCAATGATGTAAAACAAAAATAAATGCAAAACATGTGTGAATTTCAATTTATAGCTTATTTAAATAAACTTTTAATACACATCAACATAAGACTAGCACATATAAGACTAAGACATGCAACAGTCTTAAAGCCCCAAAATGCCCTGGTACAGCCGAGTGTTAAGAGTTCGCTCTCCTTCTCGAAATGCTTTTACATGGCCACGCGTATATGGCCTCTGCCAGGGAAGTCCTACTCAATGCCTTTTCGTGGCGGGGGGTGTTGGTTACGAAATTGAGGGGACGAAAAGCGAACAAACAAATCAATCAGTCGTAGCCTGGTTAAGGTTTTAAACAGTTCTAAAAAACGGAAAAACGCTTAAAGCAATAGCGAAGCTAACAAACAGAAGTTGGGGAATTGTAACTGATAAAAGTCAGTTACCGAATTGTGAAAAGAAGAATGAATGGAACTGAGATAAGATTCCTTAAAATGGGGCGCGACTGTAAGTATATAAGTGGAATTTATCTTAAAGTATGTGCTGTAATATCTCAAAATATGGGATTTCTTTTATCTCCATAAATTTTTTCAAACTTCTAATCTGCAAGCCGCAGAATAAAAATTTTATAAAATATCAAACAGTCCACTTTAAGATCAATTAATGATGTAGTAAATTTAAGCAACACTGGTGAGTGGTACATTTTAAAAGAATGAATTTAGTCCCAAGGCTGCTTCCAAAGGTTTACATTTTCCATATACAAATATACATTAGATATTAAAATTACAATAAGTAAACCATTTACAGATGTACAAAACAAGATAACGTACCAAATTCTTCTTTAGTTCTGGCGATAAAGGGGTAGTTTCTGATTGACCGAATGGTGAAAGTACGGGTGAGACAGTGACTTCTGTCATTTGTTCTACATACATCTGATTTTTAAATGCCTTTGAAATGTCACCAAAATCCGTAAAAATACCAGCGTAAGGATTTTTACGTTCGTGCTATAATTAAGGACGAAAACATTTCCAAACTGAAAGAACAACTGGACTTAAGACTAGTGTTTTATTAGAAAAGGGAGTGTAATTTAAACAATAATATAGAGATGTTTACAGACAGACATGTACAGAGTCAGATCTGGTTTAAGGGTGCTTTAATTTAAGTTATCACGTTTTACATCGAAACAGAAAAAAGGAATTAATGAGGGAAAAACCAAAAGAATGATAATGATGTTGATAATACTAATTTCAGAGAATAACTAAGTATAAAAAGGAAGGAATAATGAACAAAATTAGTAAGCAAGAATTATGATAATAAGGGAAAGAAAAAAGTGAACACATTTGCATCAATGAGATATATTGTGAGACCTATTGCTCAAGGTCTAAATCAAATAATATTTTAAGGCAACTTATTTATCAAACATGGATTTACAAGCTTGACTTCTATTCATATGGTAGACATAGTAATACTAGCAAACTGCTTGAACTGAAAACAATGTAGTGGGATTCGAACCTATGACATGTCAAATTACCACTAGACAAATTTAAATTTATTAATTCAAATCACATTGGTAAGGAATTATAATGATTATATGTAGGCTAAGAAATTAAGCTTTTGATAAAAAATTTTGGACTCAGCTAATTTTTCACAAGTACAAAATGAATATCTTAACTACTTTTGATTGAATTAAAAATTAATTTAATCAAAGGCAAGAAGTTGCATCAAAAATCTGAGTCATCAGGTCAGCTGATGTTAGACAGAAAGCACTCAATTATACTTTCTTACTACGTTTTAGTTTTTACACATTTCATGTACTAAGAAGTGCCAAGAAATGGGTATTTAGATTGTTGGGGTAATACAAAAAGCACATCATGTAAGTCCGTGGGCATAATTAGGTAAGCAAAGTGTTATTAACTTACTTTAACACTATCTAAATGTTTTTGAGCTGGATGAGATATTTCCTTGGTACGTTTGGTATGTGTTGAAATATTGCTGGATGAATAGTGTATAAAGTAATTAAGATTTGGATTTATATTTGGTCGGACATACAACAAGGCAGTGAGAATATTCCTCAATGAACCTTCTTCTAGAGATAAATCTAGTAAACCCTGGGTTAGATCGTTTCCCTTTAAAAAAAAAGAAAGCGTGTACATTAATTAAATCCATAGGGATTACAAGAATAATAAAGAATAGTCAGTACTCACTCAATGAATGAATGCCAACAAATAAAACATTCACCAACATGATTTTACTTAACAGAGTATATAAAATTACCTAGAGGAGCAGAGAATTACAAACTTATAGTTAAGTTATGTGAAGATTAAGAAACAACTAATCTTGGTCTGTTATAAGACATCGATAAAACAGACAATTGTAATGAATAAATCCAAAGGAGTGACTTAATAAATTGTTACTTGTGAACAAAAAATTAGTGCCGCCTCTTTTATTTTGATTAATTTAATAGTTTTATGGTCAATTAAAGATGTTTTAAAACATAGAGGATAATAAATCTGTGAAACTGTTGGAAATAACATTGTTTTCTATGTAGTGAAACTACGTGAATAGCTATATTGTCTTCAACTTGTTATTGGACAAATAAACTACATGAATGAACCAAATGTAAAAAGTAGAAACACCCAGGTTCTTACTCTTTGAACAAAAAAAGGTAACTTTCTATTCTTCCAGAAGTCACTACCTAACACAAGTAAATATTCAGTAGAAAACTTGTTATGGGTAGCAAAGACTGACTAGACAAACCACATGTGTATACACAGATTTATAATTCCACCGAACGTACAGAAGAAAACGTTATTAACAGGGTAATGAACTAATAATTAAAATAAGAGGTCCTAAAATGAGGAACATATAGAGTTGGGAATTTTAGCAATAATAATGGATAATTAGAATACATTCTGTCCAACTTTCACCTAGACTATTGATAATTAGCTTGATTCATTTAATTTAATCGAAACAAAGATATCGCAAACCCAGTGGTAAAGTGTCTTAAAACACAAAGTAGCGCTTTATGGACTAAGAACAAAAATTATTTCACTTCAGAAGAGCTTTCGAGTACGAAGTATCATATATGTTCTATGTCAAACTTATTCCTGTCGGAAACCTATAAAACTTAACAGGTGCCTACATTACTGCACAGAGGACCTCCAATGCATTAAGTAAGACTGAGGGTGGTGGGTCCACTCCCCCCTCGACATGCTTTCATACCGCCACGCGTAAATAGCCATTGCCAGGGAAGTCTTACTCACTGCCTTATCGTGACCAAAGTGTTTACGACATTGGGACGAAAAGCGAATATCCGGAGCTTAAACCGGGTTGGTGACTATGGAGAATCCACCTAGGAGAGTTGGAAAACCTTGATTCCAAACTAATGATGCAAATAAGCTTCGGGAACAGTCTGAGAAGCAGACGGAACACCAATTAATAACATTATTGATGTTTGAGTCGACAGAGTCATTTGAGAAACAGCTCAGCAGAATTGGTGTCACAGGGACCTTGATCAGACAGTTCTGTCCTCCTTGGCTGGTGTCGACTGATCTACCTAATGTGGCATAGATGAGGCACACTGGTACAGACGGACACCAAAAAATAAAAATGGGACTACGAAAAGATAGACAGAGAAATATGAGTATCAAAACAAAATTAAATTAAAAGTGTATGAGAGTGAAAAAATTAATAATAGAAAAACTTCACTTAATTAAAACAAAACTACAGACAGTTATTTCAATTCATCAAAATACTATTATGAAAAAATTCACAATACGATCGCCACTATCTCCTATTCTGAGCCATATCTGATAACATCTCTACTCACCGTGTTGCACCATTTCAAGGACCTCGATCAGGGAGACGTGAAGGACCAACATATTCCAGTCCTGTATAGCTTTCTTTCACACCACGATACTGTGTCGTACAATGACCACCTCCGTTTTTTTCCAACCAGTCCCAGCGTCAGTAAATAATGCACGATGTGGAACTCCATAGGCATACATTCTTAGTACCTGTCCAAGCCACCGAGGTCGGTATTCCAAGATAGTGACACTAATTGGATTATCGTCTCTGTGCCCGAACACACGATGCCAAACCTCTGCATTACTAACATGGAGTTACCACTGGATGTCAGCAATCCTTCGGAGACAACGATGATCAAGCACATAAAGTTGTCTAACATCCTCAACTCGGAGAGGTCAGGTTTCACAAGCATAGAGCGAAACTGCTCTCACCGACGCGTTGTAGATCTGACCTTTTACAACCAAACTAACATCACGAGGGCGTCAAAGGTGGCCCAGATTAGCATAAGCCATTCTGGCTTTCACTATTCGTGAATTTGTCTCATCGCTCACGCAACTACCCAGATACATGAACTTCTCGACCACAACTATCCTCTCACTACCCAGGATAAGTGCAGTATCAGGGTCCTGACAACCTTGTAAAAGTACTTTTCGAAGGTACAAAGCATATACCATACCTACGGACACTAATTCTCAACTGACTAAGTGCGGATTGCATGGCTTGGGTATCATCATACAGTAAGACAATATCATCCACACACTCAAGGTCGAAAAGTCTTTCTCCAAGCAACAGATTCACACCACCATTACCTACATCCATCAGAGCTGTTTTCAGAACGTCATTGATGGAAAATTTGAAGAGGGATGGTGAGATTGAGCAATCCTGCCTAACCCTACTGCTTGAATGGAACAATGGAGAGAGGTAGTTGTACGCCCTCACTCTGCATAAGATATTTGTACATAGACCCTCCAATATGTTAATAGGCTTCTCAGGCACACCCTTCTGCAATAAGCAGTCCCAGAGAACAGTTCTGTCCATCAAACCGAAGGCGGCCCTAATGTCAAGAAACACTACAATTGTTGGCCTGTAACAAGTTTGACAGTGTTCTAACATTTAGCGGAGAGTGAAGATATCATCAATACATCCTCGATCAGAACGAAAACCAGCCTGCTCCTCGAGAGTCAATCTTTCTCCGGTTTTGAACAATCTACGAAGTATGACGGAAGCCAATAGTTTGAACGCAATCGGAAGATACTTATATCCCGATAGTTGTTGCATAGGTGACGTAAATACCTTTAAAAGATAGAAATGACTATCGACCCTCTAAGTCACAAAAATTTGCAAACAACTTTGTCAGTTCAATAGTCAGAAGGTTGCCACAGCACTTTAAGAGCCCCGAGGGTAGGTCACCTGGGCCTGGTGGTTTCAGAGTCTCCTGTCCAGGGAGGACAGAACAGTTTGGTCGAGGTCGCTGGGACAGCGAACCAGCCTAACTGTTTCTCAAATGACTCCATCTACTGTGCTGATATTTAGTGTCAGCCAAGAACGGGTTGTGGTTTGTGCAAAGTTTGAGTAGATGATCCATCGTTCAAGACGTTGACAGATGTTATCGATTGGCGTCCGATAAACTTCACAGATTGTTTCACTTACACTAGAATTCGTGCTGCCAGTGACTCGGATGATTCTAAAGAGTTTCCGGCAGTTACCAGATGCGTCTGTGGCTTCCAACTCGTTCGCACTCTCTGACCATCAGGTTCTAGATTCTTATGCAAAGTTTAGATATTTTCATCATATGAGAATCTACATTTACCGTAAAACCCGCGGTTAGTCGAAGTAGACCGATGTGCGCCAACAAGTCGTAAGGATTCTACTCATAAGCGGGATGTTTCGCGAAGCCGCAAGCAACTTTACTCGCCATTTTCATGGTCATGCAATTGCAACCAATGCTCATTTATACATTTTGGTGGGATGGTAGCTAGCCTTGAATCTAGCTCCGTTTGAATGGTATACGTGGTTTCAGAAAGACTGTTTCAGCACTCGTAGTCGGACGTAGCATTCAACTTTCGACGAATAAGTGACTTGAGAACGCTTGGTTGGGAGAGGGTTTTCAATAATAAACGAACTGCTGTATGGGTTGAAAAATAAGGGAGTGAACAAAGTATGAAAAGAAGAGAATAGAGACATGATTAAAGTTAAAATAAGAACGAATGTTACGGAATAATTGTAAATACAATTTCTGTAAATGTAAATTAAAGGGAGAGTATTTTTCAGCTCTAAACATTATTTGATTGGTGTACAAGGTAGGGGACAGTTCCCGAGCCTTTGAGCTAAATGACTTATTCACAAGGCAGTGGAGCAACGTTAGGGGATAAGATCCCACGGTAGCCGGTGACCAAGAATAGATTTACACGCCATTTGCTCCTTCGGGATCTTGAGCCCCATTTGCACCATTAGTTTGGAATCAGGGTTTTCCAACTCTCCCAGGTGGATTCTCCGTGCTCACCAACCCGGTTTAAGCTCCGGACGTTCGCTTTTCGTCCCAATGTCGTAAACACCCTGGTCGCGTTAAGGCAGTGAGTAGGACTTCCCTGACAGTGGATGTATGAAAGCATTATGACTGGGTGAGCGGATTCACCACCCTCGCCCGTACTAGAGGATTCGGGAGGTGTTCACATTTATATAAACGTGCCCTTCTGAGAGGTGATAAGTTTACATTGGTTTTGAGGAGGATCAGTCACTATCCAAGTTTTAACAATGGAACCTCAAGAGCGCAGATTAATACTGTGACACAACCACACAAATACCCGGAACCCCGTAAAATGCTAATGACTATTTAAAATAATAAATTTAAGAATGATAACTAAAAAATTACATTTATTACAGAAAAGGGCAAAATACATTACCTCCTTTTCAGCAGCATCTATTAGATTTTTAGCCTCGTGTCCAATTTTTTCCATAGGTATAACTGATTTGGGAGTTATGCGATTAAATGCTTTATTTTTTGAAATAGACTGAGGGTGCGAAGACGGTGGAAGTTGAGACCCATTCTTGTTCATAAGTTTACCCAAACATTCGAAACCATAGAAATAAGTATTTTTTGAAGGTAACAAACCCTCTCGTTTTATTCGTTCCAGTAATTTAATGTATCCACTCCAGTCACCCTAAAATAATGAAAAAGTGCAAAAAGGACTTGGAATATTTAAATTAGTTGAATAACCATAGTCTATTATCTTTTAAGGAGTGATGGATTGATCTAGAATCACATAAGAAACATACATAACTTCTTTTTGCATAGGTTTGGATCAAAATGGCTTTATTTGATGGTTCATCTAACAATAAAACAATTAAAACCATTCACTTTGCAAACCGTCGCTTATAATCCGGACAAATTCTGATTAGTCTAGGTAAACAGAAGTTATACAATCGTCAACCTCGTACATCAACAATAATGGACAGAAAGACACATTCAAGACACTAAGTTAAGTCAAAATAGCTTCACGTTTTGGTTAACAAAGGATAGTTACTGATATTTCATACATTAACGTATTAAAATTATGAACAATAAATTTTGTCCCAAAAACTATCAAGTACTAATGCACTATTAGTACCGGAAGGTCCAATGCAAGTGAGAAGTTGATGGCACTCCAAATAATAATTATCGTAAATTTCTCGAAAACTAGGTGGAGGACAATTTAACTGGTCCATCGTCCCACAAATATCAATTAGAATGTAATATCCTTCTTGGCTGATGGCTGCCTATCCACATTTCATTAGGCTTAGACAATCTATTTTAAGGCCTTCCCAGTAATGTAGGCTAAGTTGTTGGGAAAGTTTCGGTAGTTCGACAGTGTTCCACGGGGTGAATGTTACTACCGACTACGAATATTGAAAGTCTCTCTAGAACCACGGCTATATGATGTTAGGTTAGAAAACTCCATCAGAGTGCAAAGAAATCGATGTGAGAAACGATGTCATTTGTTATCTCCTCCTATGCTCCTACAGATTGCAGCCCGGATGCGATCAAGGATAAGTCCTACCATCAGTTAAGTGATGTTTATAAAGTGCGTTCAACAGATATTATAGTACTTACCGAAAATTTGAGTGGGTGGGTCGGGTGTCTAGGGACAAAGGATAGTCGTTTGGATGGCCAATGAGGACTTGTTAGATGCAAGTCAGATAAAGGTGACCATCTACTCAAACTTTGCACAAATTACGACCCTTTCCTGGCTACCACTGGCTATCAGCACAGTCATGTGTATGTGCTATCTGCATCTCAAGCGTGGACTCAGATTGATCACATCACGACCAGCTACCATTGGCGTGCTTGTGTACAAGACTGGCACTCCTTTTGGAGTACTTTTTTGAATTCTGACCATATCTTTGTTTGTGATAATCTTTCGGTAGTCAACAAATTCATCATCCTGAAGGATCGATATCAGCAAATTTCTTACAGCTTCCGATGCAACCAAATATCAAACTGAGCTAGATTCAAGGCTAGCTACCATCCCACCAAAATGTATAAATGAGCATTGGTTGCAATTGCATGACCATGAAAATGGCGAGTAAAGTTGCTTGCGGCTTCGCGAAACATCCCGCTTATGAGTAGAATCCTTACGACTTGTTGGCGCACATCGGTCTACTTCGACTAACCGCGGGTTTTACGGTAAATGTAGATTCTCATATGATGAAAATATCTAAACTTTGCATAAGAATCTAGAACCTGATGGTCAGAGAGTGCGAACGAGTTGGAAGCCACAGACGCATCTGGTAACTGCCGGAAACTCTTTAGAATCATCCGAGTCACTGGCAGCACGAATTCTAGTGTAAGTGAAACAATCTGTGAAGTTTATCGGACGCCAATCGATAACATCTGTCAACGTCTTGAACGATGGATCATCTACTCAAACTTTGCACAAACCACAACCCGTTCTTGGCTGACACTAAATATCAGCACAGTAGATGGAGTCACTTGAGAAACAGTTAGGCTGGTTCGCTGTCCCAGCGACCTCGACCAAACTGTTCTGTCCTCCCTGGACAGGAGACTCTGAAACCACCAGGCCCAGGTGACCTACCCTCGGGGCTCTTAAAGTGCTGTGGCAACCTTCTGACTATTGAACTGACAAAGTTGTTTGCAAATTTTTGTGACTTAGAGGGTCGATAGTCATTTCTATCTTTTAAAGGTATTTACGTCACCTATGCAACAACTATCGGGATATAAGTATCTTCCGATTGCGTTCAAACTATTGGCTTCCGTCATACTTCGTAGATTGTTCAAAACCGGAGAAAGATTGACTCTCGAGGAGCAGGCTGGTTTTCGTTCTGATCGAGGATGTATTGATGATATCTTCACTCTCCGCTAAATGTTAGAACACTGTCAAACTTGTTACAGGCCAACAATTGTAGTGTTTCTTGACATTAGGGCCGCCTTCGGTTTGATGGACAGAACTGTTCTCTGGGACTGCTTATTGCAGAAGGGTGTGCCTGAGAAGCCTATTAACATATTGGAGGGTCTATGTACAAATATCTTATGCAGAGTGAGGGCGTACAACTACCTCTCTCCATTGTTCCATTCAAGCAGTAGGGTTAGGCAGGATTGCTCAATCTCACCATCCCTCTTCAAATTTTCCATCAATGACGTTCTGAAAACAGCTCTGATGGATGTAGGTAATGGTGGTGTGAATCTGTTGCTTGGAGAAAGACTTTTCGACCTTGAGTGTGTGGATGATATTGTCTTACTGTATGATGATACCCAAGCCATGCAATCCGCACTTAGTCAGTTGAGAATTAGTGTCCGTAGGTATGGTATATGCTTTGTACCTTCGAAAAGTACTTTTACAAGGTTGTCAGGACCCTGATACTGCACTTATCCTGGGTAGTGAGAGGATAGTTGTGGTCGAGAAGTTCATGTATCTGGGTAGTTGCGTGAGCGATGAGACAAATTCACGAATAGTGAAAGCCAGAATGGCTTATGCTAATCTGGGCCACCTTTGACGCCCTCGTGATGTTAGTTTGGTTGTAAAAGGTCAGATCTACAACGCGTCGGTGAGAGCAGTTTCGCTCTATGCTTGTGAAACCTGACCTCTCCGAGTTGAGGATGTTAGACAACTTTATGTGCTTGATCATCGTTGTCTCCGAAGGATTGCTGACATCCAGTGGTAACTCCATGTTAGTAATGCAGAGGTTTGGCATCGTGTGTTCGGGCACAGAGACGATAATCCAATTAGTGTCACTATCTTGGAATACCGACCTCGGTGGCTTGGACAGGTACTAAGAATGTATGCCTATGGAGTTCCACATCGTGCATTATTTACTGACGCTGGGACTGGTTGGAAAAAAACGGAGGTGGTCATTGTACGACACAGTATCGTGGTGTGAAAGAAAGCTATACAGGACTGGAATATGTTGGTCCTTCACGTCTCCCTGATCGAGGTCCTTGAAATGGTGCAACACGGTGAGTAGAGATGTTATCAGATATGGCTCAGAATAGGAGATAGTGGCGATCATATTGTGACGGTTTTTTTATAATAAGTGAACGTAAGTTCTTTAATCGAAAGAAATCTAACTGAGCTGTTTCTCTCATTGTACGCATTTTTTTTCTGTTTGTTGTTTCTGTTTCATTATATGCACTTTATGTGCTCTATCACTTCACAGCCTCACTGTTATTGTGTGGCGTTTATATTTTTGATACTCCTTTTGCACCAATATTTATGTGTTCAAATTAATTAATTAAAGTGAAGTGAATTTCAAACTTTTTAAGAATATCAACGGACATATCATCGTTGTCTAGTACTGTTATGAAGGAGTTTTAAGATGATGTGATGGGACGAATTCCAGATTGACAAAAATGATGAAAAGAATGCTAATCGACAGATGAACGAAATTGTAAGATATTACTGAGTGATGGCTACTTACAAGATTGTATTATTTAACTGCAGTCTCGAATGATTAGAAATCAAGAAGACTATTGGTCAGACAAATATATTTTTATGTGGTAAAATAACATGCTTATAAGCAGAATATTAACAAAAAAATAGATATGATAAAATGTCATAAGAGATTGGAGAAAATTAGCTTGCGGGCCGCTCATCCATCAAGCACTTAAAATGTGACTCTTAGGACTAACTTTTAGGTATCGTGTCAAGCACCCTACATATAACATCAGCACTGCTCACTTGGCCCGACCGTAACTGCTACCTTGACGTGGTGATCGGGCTTGCCTATCGTGATGACCCAACCGAGCTATATTGGCTGGAACACATGTTACTGCAGGTTCTACCATGCCAGGCAGGTCGATTGGAGATCGGTAAGACTAAAAGCAGCAACTCAAGGTCTGAGGGCGAAGTCGTACTGCTGACTGTACAGAGGTGTGACAGCAGTAAGGTATTTCCCTCGAACAACCAGCATCTACAGCGATGCTGCCTTCTCACAAGGAAGGAAGGGGTTAGAAAAGGTCGACCCTAAAAATGTCATACCTCACCTTACCCCACGGATTTCCGTCTCTGGCGGTAAGGCCCTTTGAAGAATGGAGCTAACACATTAAAAACCTCCCACAAAAAGGCCGTGTGCGACCGGCCTCAAGCAGTTGTCCCTTGGGCTCTGCGGTCACGCTCTCAGGTCGTTAAGACCAACGCTAATCCGATTTTCTTTTCAGGTTCCTCAAGAAATACCGTCCCACGGTGTGGGCAGCCGGGAAGTGACATCAGCCCTCATACCCGTAACAGCACACGAGACCAAGTTGGTCACATTCAAATCCTTCCTACACCTCCTAATAACTCTCTTATCTCCACGACTAACCCTTCTTACGTAGGTATAGTATTGAGTCCTAGGGCGGAACTAGCTCTCTTAGACTGGATTCCAGTAGACAGTCGTTTGTGCGCTATCGGACTAAACGGAACAGTAAGGACTCGGAAAGATAGGGACACTCGTCGTTGCCTTTTCATCGTCTCTGCCTACTCTCCCACTGACTGCAGCTCAGATAATGTAAAGGATGAGCTTTACAGAAAGCTTTCCGACCTTCTCCGAAAAGCTAGGCGCTCTGATGTAGTAATAGTGGCTGGTGACTTTAATGCTCAAGTAGGTAAACTAAGCGAAAAGGAAAGACACCTGGGTGGATCTTATGGTGTCGCGGCTCAAAGGACAGATAACGGCGACCGTCTGTTGCAGCTATGCTCAGATAACCGCCTGTTTCTTGCAAGCACTAACTTTAAGCATAAGGAAAAACATCTTTTTACATGGCGACCCCCTAATTCGTTCCAACGCCGGACCCAAATAGATCACATCGCTATCAGCCACCGATGGAGGGGCTAGATAGAAGACTGTCACTCATTCTGGAGCACATGCTTAGACTCAGATCATGCTCTAGTGCGAGCGCGTACTTGTCTACGTCTTACTGGACGTAGGAAAGATGGTGCAAAGAAACCCCTTAGGGTCCTACTTAATGATAGTCAAGCTAAGAGTATATTTTAGGAACAACTAGAAAAACAGTTAGGCAGCTATGTAACTGATCCCCACCCCGAGGCAGCGTGGAATGACATCCGAAAAGCTGTAGAAACAGCAGTGATGTCTGCAAGTACGGTAAACCATAAGGTTAGGGAGAAACACTGGATCTCAGCAGCGTCTACCGCACAGATAGATGCTCGAAAACTCATTCCATCTGGCTCTGAACATAACGAAGAGCGGAGTCAGCTTAAACGTAAGCTGACTAGAAGCCTACGCAATGATCGTGAACAGTGGTGGGTAGCGAAAGCAAGAGAGATGGAAAAGGCAGCGGCAATAGGTAACAGTAGGCAACTGTTCAGACTTGTTAAGGAAACCGGGATTAGGAACCAAACTGTTAGCGAAACTATCTCCGAAAAAGATGGACATACTATTCATTCTCAATCCAGGAGATTGGATCGATGGACAGAACACTTTAAAGATCAGTTCAACTGGCCTTCAGCCACACTTCGGTTTCCCACGATCTCCAATCTACCTCAATGGCAAGTTAATGTAAGTCCTCCGACTCTTTACGAAGTTGAAAAAGCTATAGGAAATCTGAAGCGTGGGAGAGCAGCAGGCCCTGACAGGTTTACTCCTGAGATTCCTAGGGATGGCGGTCCAGTATTAGCAGCGAGATTGACTGAGGTCTTAGGCAGAATCTGGGAACTGGACGTAATCCCATCTGACTGGTCTCAATCAGTGATCGTGCCAGTTTATAAGAAAGGACAAAAGTCTTCTTGTGACAATCACAGAGGAATTAGTTTGACTAATATAGTGTCTAAAATATTAGCTTTAATAATACTTCGACGTCTAACTAAAGCTCGTGAAATGCAGACTAGAGAAAACCAGGCTGGTTTTCGACCCGGACGTGGTTGTATAGATCAGATATTCACACTACGTCAGGTTCTAGATCATAGACACACATTCAGACGCCCCACAATAGTAGTATTTCTCCATTTTAAGGCGGCATTTGACTCTGTTGATCGTGAGGTTCTATGGCAGTGTTTGTTACTGAAAGGAGTACCAAAGAAGTACATTAACCTTATAAAGGCTCTCTACTCGAACACAACTGGTCGAGTGAGAGCTTATGGTGAACTGTCATCAGAACTGATTACCTCAAGTGGTGTTCGTCAGGGCTGTCCACTCTCCATTCTTGTTTAACTTTGTTTTTGACGTGCCCCCAAATGCCCTGGTACGGCCGAGAGTGGGGAGAGTCCGCCCTCTCTCTCGAAATGCTCTCACATGGCCATGCGTACATAGCCCCTGCCAGGGAAGTCCTACTCACTGCCTTCTCGTGGCGGGGGTGTTGTTTACGAAAATGAGAGGACGAAAAGCGAATGTCCGGTGCTTTAACCAGATCCCAAACCAATGGTGCACATGGGCTCCAGTATCCTGCGGGAACAAATGGCGTATGAACCAATCGTTGGTCACCGGCTACCATGGGACTGCATCTCCTCACGATGCTCCACTGCCTTGTGGATCAGACGTCCAGGTCAAAGTCTCGGGGTGTGGCCCCCTAAGAAAACCACCTGCTTCGGTTAGGGCACCCGGGCAGTATCACAGCCCTCACACAAATCAATTGCGATTCGTGTGGCGCATATGCATTTGGTGCCTCCTTGTACCAATACCTATGTGTTAAAATAAATAAATAAATTGTTGTTGACGTGCTTTTAGAAATAACACTTTCCTCATCTAAATTTCCAGGAGTTGAACTTTTACCGGGAGATTCACTTGTTGACTTAGAATATGCCGATGACATAGTTCTATTTGGTGAAGACGCTGACAAAATGCAGTCTGCTGACCACTCTAAGCAACAATGCAGGCATGTTCGAGATACGACTCTCTCCCCCGAAATGCAAAATGTTGCTTCAGGATTGGGTTGCGTCGACACCCGAACTAGTGATATGAAGTGAAGTAGTCGAGTGTGTCGACCGCTTCACTTATCTTGGAAGTCTCATCAACCCTTGTGGTCTGGTGTGTGACGAAATCTCAGCACGGATACAGAAGGCTCGATTAGTTTTTGCCAACTTGCGTCATTTGTGGCGTAGGCGAGATATCCATCTATCAACCAAAGGACGGGTTTACTTCGCAGCAGTCCGTTCCGTCCTACTTTATGGCAGTGAAACATGACCGGTAAGAGTAGAGAATATTCGTGGGTTACTAGTATTTGATCATAGATGTCTTCGAAACATCGCTCGTATATCCTGGGACCACCGAGTAAGTAATGCAGTTGTTAGGAAACAGGTACTAGGTAAGGATGGCAAATCAATTGAGGAAGTAGTGAAACTCAATCAGTTGAGATGGCTGGGACATGTGTTACGTATGCCTGACCACCAACTGCCCCGACGTGCGATGTTTTATGGTGTAGGAGTTGGTTGGAAGAAGGCTAGGGGCGACCAGACCAAAACATGGCACAAACCCATGAAGTCACTGACAAGTGGACTGAGCCATGTTGGTAGATGTAGACTACCTGGTTGGGGTCCGCGAGATGATAGCAACCGATGGTTAGAGACCTTGAATGACATGGCTAAAAATCGTTTGCAATGGCGCAGGTGCATCCACTCTCTGTGTTCTCCCAAACTCTAATCTGAATTCTCCATGTCTTTTATTTTCTTTCCAAATATATTCCACTGGACTATACTCCTTAAATGACATCATCAAACCTCAACGTTCCCTGTCACTACTTATACTTTCACTACTCTGCCACTACGGGATTTGAGACGATAACTGAATCTCTGTGTTAATGTGGTATGGCAACTCGAACTGATGTACGTACGTACGAAGTTCCACGTTGTTTCTGACTGACTGACTGCTCACTTGGTTGTGTCACAACGCGTGACAGACGCTTCAAATATACATTTGATAGGAAAGTGCGATCCACGGAAGTCTTTTAATCATGTTTGATAACCTAAGGTAAGACAATGTTGACTGAGTTCATTATCTGCTAGAGTTCTTCTTTGGTACAGTGAAGAATTCTTAATATTAGGGTTTAACTTGAAGTTCCTGCTAATGAACCTGGAGAATTCAAGTTCTGAAAAAAGATGAGATTTTAGGTCGTAAATATTGTTTCACTATCGGTAACTAGGCGAACAGAAACATATGAAATCATGTATCCTAAATATTTCTAAGAATATTTTATGTTTAATCAGCCGAGTGTATAAAATAAATGTGCTATGTGGAGATGCGGTCTGATACAAGCTTTTAAGTGTTACTTAGTTAAACAGGATGGAAATGGAAAAAATTGAATGACTCACACATTTTGCGTAATAATTTGCTAGCTTTTCGTAAACCATTGAGGTCTGTATGATATGGCCACGTCGAAATCCTTTAGCTGCTCGCGATTCTTTGTAAACGGAATCGCAAAACCGAAGAAAATTAAAAACCTGGAAGAAACGAGATTATAGAAAGTTGACTTTTATATTACATTTCTTTAAGAGAAATCGCTGCTCCAATAATTACCAGGACTCATAAGACAAGTATATATTTGTGTACGTGATTTTGAGTCACCCTATGCATGAGGATTAGTGATACTACTCGACTCTCCAAAGAGCGGTAGGTGGGGAAGCACTCAAACTTGTGGCTAAGTGATTGAAAGCTGGATGCCTTAGTCACTAAGTCACCGCTCCACAGATTGCATTTAGTTGCTTAGACGAAACAAACTAAACTCCAAAACCATTTAATTAGGCTGTGAAGATGATTTCTGATAGTAACAGTACACTGATAACCCAATTTTGCCCGTTTAGATTGTGCCGAAAGTTTGAACAATGAGCTACTCTCAAGAGCTGGAGACATCCTGTCTGAGAACTTGAAAAATCTTATATTCGAAAGCGATTTACCTAATAATAAGTATCATTGACTCCAACCAAAAGGTCAGACTTATTCAGTCTCGTTTTGCAAACAAATTGATAGTTAGGTCCTGACAACGAAATCTAAAGATTCAGTCCGTATTGGTTCTTGACAATATTAACTAATACTGATTTTAACCGTAATTCAAAGGGTAAGAACTTGGGGTGCAATATACTATTGTTCTTAAGATTACGGGACATTTATTTGATCAGACGATAAGTATACAGCCTGAGGCAGATGTGCTTCAGATCTAGTCAGCATCGCACAACTAATAAACAGAGATATGTATGTAACTAAGGTTTAAAGACCTCTAGTTTAAAGATAATGAAGAACAAATTTGTTTTAATAGCGCTGAGTTTGTTGCCTAACTGTATGCTGTGAAGATTAGACTAAACAGCAGCGCGAAACAGTAAAATCAAACGTTATATTGACTGAAATGTCAACGAGACCATTCCACATGATTTTGAGAAGCTTGGTAACTATAAGTAGCCCACTTAAGTAGTCAAACAATCAACCCTTGATATTTTTCAGGTAAGATCATACCATATGAAATCTTAAAGCATTAGTCTTTTAATTTTAAATCTAACGAGTACTCACTAAATGACATATGATAAAGAGCGATTAACGTAATTTGACTTAGCAGTAACGACCTTACTTTAAATGTAAAGATTAAGCAGCAAAACACTGACCTCTCCTGACGCAATGCTTGAATCCAAGAATCCTGCTAGTTTGATATTGAAATTAAAAATTTTTGAAAGCTGAGCAGAGAAACTATGCGGGAAACACGGTTCTGAAATATGTTTATCAAGAAAGTATGGGTCCTTGTCCAGTTGCATATCAAGAATGCGAGACCATTCGGGAAAATTCGCCATCCAAAACTGTTTACAACACTTCGTGATTGTCTGGAACCTAGGAGGAATGTGCTTGGATGTTAGAGCACACTCGGATTGTTTGATAAGTATAGCCGCATCAAGCGATAGTTCGTCAATCTGAGAATTGTCCTTTTTCTTCACAGTCAGGACTTCGGATCTATGTGATTTTTGGGACAAAGGGTCGTTGATTTTAAGTCCTAAAAGTTTGATTAGTACTTCAAAGCAACTTTTATTTGACGTTCATACTTGGTGATGCTCCATGTGAATAAGTTGAGTATTTGAGTGCAGTCTGAATACATGACAGCCGATAAGAATGAGAAAACATATAAATTCGGAAATGTGTATCCCCTGGAAGTAAATGTAGTCAGGGAAATTATTCGCTAGGCACGCGACGTAGCGCTACCTCCGAAATTGCTCCGAAAACTCGGAGCTTAATCCAATTTCCAATAACCTAGCGACTAACTTGCATCAATCAATTGATTTCTTAGTGTTTACTTCTCGTTGTTAAATAGGGTTTATAAATAGTTTGATCGCCTTCAGTGATATCTCTAAATTTCTTGATCATGATGGTGTACATAATAGGTAATTAATTTTAGGATCTCTAGCTTGACAATTGACTGGAATTGCCTCGAGTGGAATTGAAGAAATTTTACGGCCTGCTTTTGTGACGTTTTTAAACCTTCCGTATGAGCGGAGTGTGGTAAGGAAAGTAAATGTATTGTTGTCAAAGGCCGTTTTCCAGCATGCATCGTTTTCTGAAATGGAAAAGAACATAAAATACCATAAGCTAACAAATTATTTTGACGAAATTGCGAGGCAAACCACTCCTCACGGTAAATGCTTCTGTATTCCTCTACCATGGTTGCTGACTTTGTTAGTTTGAGTGGACTTAACTAGATGGTCCTAATCTCACACAGCAAACAAGGTTTACCAATCTGGTCTTGTTTATTATTCACCAAACCCACAGTCCTGAGTCAGTTTGTCTAAAACAAGCGTTTCTGCAGGGTTCGAAGTAAGGAAGTCTTTGGTAAAATTTATTATGTAGATCACAGATGCAGGCCATCTATATAGGTGTCCGGAGGCCTACTTAGACTGGACGGGAATGGTATAACCTTCTAGCCCTCGTCAAAGTCAAATTTAGCGGTTGAGACACAACGACGATTACTCTCCCGTCGTATTCAGGTTCTTCGGTCACCTTGATGACCATATAGAATTGACATAACTATATTGCAGAAACGCATTATTTAGAATAGTTACAAGAAACAGAGTGTGACCACTGTCATATAGACCAATTCACAGTGTGTAATTCTTTAGTACGCTCTGGTTGTCCTTGATCATGACGAGGATTCGTAAACTGTTCGACATTAAGCGGTACGATCACTCTATGATCTGCCTGTGGCCGTGGCATTTCATTTTCTCCACAAAAAAATCAAATATTTTATAATGGGAAGTTAACGCTAGCTTGGCTAAAAAGTGACTCTAGAAAATTCAGAACAACAGTCGGACTGAAATAAAATAACAGCGTACATAAAATATAAAGACCAGAATAAGTATATTTAGACCGATTTAAAGTGTAATCAAAAGAGAAATTTGACTCCGAGGAGAAAATAAGTTCACCATGACAAAAAAATGAAAAGCGTGACTGGTTATGATAGAATCTTGAATAATTAGGGCTCCTGCTTATACCGGTATCAACGTCACAGAGGATATGGTGAAGGGCAGTGGAATTTTCGCATTTGGAAAATAAATCAGCCGTCTGATGGAGCATACCAGAATAGTTATTGTATGCAAACATGACAGACTGTATAATCGATGCAATAGTTGATCAGAAGTTGTGGCAATTTCGGCCGAGAAATATGCTTCCTTTATCTTATTGTAATGGTTAATAACTCTTCACAAGAAATAGTTTGGCATATATTCCAAACCGGTACTTGTCCTGATAGTTTTGATTAGACATTATTAGGTGGGGACACTCAGTCATTCATAACCGCCTGGTCACTACAATGTCAAAAGCGTGCCTAGTCCAGATAATCAGTTTGATTAACTGCACAGAGCATTTTTGAACTCCGCAAGCTGTGATACTTAGTCCAACTCCCATTGACCTGTTCTTTGAGTTAGGGATACAGTCAGTATGGCACAAATTTCCATTAGAGAAGAGCGTTATTTCAGTGGATTCTACTCAAAACTGTAGAACGAGATGACATTGACAGTATGCTTTTCCAAAAGTCATGCTGAAGTGACAGCATCGGCTTGACTTATGATTAGTAAAGATTAGCTTTTTGGTTAAGTGGTTATTATATCTGGTAATGTAAAGTGGTCAAATTATGAGGATAAGTGATGATTTGTCTGGAGTAACATTTCACCTAAAGTTTGGGAACAGGTTTATTGTTTCATTAGGTATTAAAATCATGATTTAGCAATCGTCAGGCCGCAACTGGTGCCGATGGATTGAATAGAAATACAACTGCAATTACATTACTCAATTATGCCTGTTAACACTTGTGGAGGGGCATAGACCGACCACCAACATTGTCTATCTAACTCTGTCCTGTATAATCCTTTCAAGTTGTTTCCACTTGCTAATAATCTTTTTCGTGTCTGCTTTCGATTCTCGATGCAATATGTTCTTTGGTCTCTCTCTTTTACGTTTCCTTGGGGATTCCAAGTTGACGCTTGCCTTGTGATACAGTTTGATGATTTACACAATGTATGACTTATCCACTTCCATCATCTCTTCTTAATTTCCTCTTCGGTTTTAGGCAGATTTGTTTTCTTTCACAGTAGGCTGCTGATAGTATCCGGCCGATGAACACTGAGTATCTTGCGTGAATAATTGTTTATAAAATAATTCAACAAAATAGTCCTAAGTGGTGAAGAGCAGCCTGAAAGGTACTTACTTACTTACGCCTGTTACTCCCAATGGAGCATCGGCCACCGACCAGCATTCTTCAACCCACTCTGTCCTGGACCTTCCTGTTTGAGGAGATTACGAGATTAACTAAAATCGTCGAAACGGATGAAGGACCAGCAAGATAACGATAAAACAAGCCAAACTACCTCGATGCGTCTCAGCCGTGCTAACTATGGGGAGTAGATGAGGTTCAGATGAGAGAAATATGTATTCCACAAGCAGCCAGTAGCACAAGGAAAACAGGCATATATATTGTGGTGATTTGAATTATTTGAATTATTGTATAAACTAGGAATCTCAGAAATAACGCAATTCAACCAAAAAGAACTATATGAGCACGAACGAACATATTGTATTTGGAGTTGGAAATCATACAGTTATCAAGTACAAAAGAATTATTAGTTCATACAAACACCGCATCTCCTTAAGTTCATCCTGTGTCTGTTCGACAGTGCCTTGGATATAGACCCTTTGTTATATAGAATGTACTCATTAATATTAGAATTAATAACCGAAGTTGAAACAAACTCACCTGTTCCCTGGAATTTCACTTGGTCAACATGTCGGTTGTGCATAATTAAGTCATTGATACATAAAATTCTCGCCAAAGATTTCTTTGCCATGTTCACCACAATTTCAATGGCTGATCGAAGATCGCTTCCACAATAATATGTAGTTTCAGCGGACACCAAACACCTCATATTCGAACGAAAAATTCCTTCTTTTAATATCTTAGATGGAGTCGCTTTCGTTACAGAATGTTTAGCATTTCCATGTTGCAGTAGAAATACATCTACTTCCGTCTCCAGTTCATTAATTGTTGAACAAGGATGCCTGGGAGCACCGTATGCTATCCAACCAGGTAGTGACTAAATCCACAGCAAAATGAGAGCCATTATCAGTTACCAGTGCCATGGGAACCCCTTCTTGACTAAACACCTCTTTTGATGTTTGGATTTTGAAATCAGAATTTAGTGAAGTTATGAAGAAACATTCAGACCTCTTCGAAAAAGAATCAATGACTACAAGTGCATAGTATTTGCCAAGAAATGAATCATAATAGTCTGCATGAATTTTCTGCCAGGCCTCAGTCGATATTGCCCATGGACTCCACTTCGAATGTTGATTTCTCAGCTTATGACACTTTTCACAATTGTTTGCTGTACGACACATATCTACATTTGTCTCTGATCACCAACATGTGATTTTTGCAAAGAACTCCATTTTCTCAATACCTAAATGTCTACCATGAAAATCTTTAACGACAGATTTGCGTAATGAACGAGGAATAACAACACGATCATTTAAACACAAAATACCATCAGGAGCAGTGGATAACTCATCCTACTTTGAAAAACAGACGGGAAATCTACATTTCAGATTAGAATTTCAACTTTTTCGTGTAGCACCGAGTATACATCCAAAGTATCTACCAGTTTGTCTAATGAGATCTGGACGTCTCACCAGTAAAAATTGCACTGACAAACAGTATGAAGTATTGACAAGTTTGTCTTGTACTGACTGTCGAGAAATGCAGTCAACATGTTGAATTTGTTTGGCACTCCTGTGCTGAACCGTATAGTCATAGGCACTCAAAGCAATACTCCATCGTTGAACCATAGCAGCTGAGGAACGCGCTAAGGATTTTTCAGGATGATAAATAACCTTTAAAGCCTCATGATCAGTAACAATAGTGAATATCTTTCCGAATAAATATTTATGAAGTCTTTTAATAGCCCAAAACACAGCTAATGCTTCTCGCTGAGTCTGTGAATCACCTTGTTCAGCGAAAGTAAGTTTACGTGAAACACAAATAACTGGTCTACCTTCCTGTTCCAAAACTGCGCCAATACCCACAAGTGATGCATCAGTGATAAGCACAAGCTGTACACTAGGGAAGTAAGTTCGAAGAACAGCACCACTTTGAGGAAACTTTAGTAGACTACGTAAGCATGACTCTTGTTCCTCACTCCATATGAATGAATTGGATGTCAAAATATTAAATAAACAATTTGCACAGCAAGAAAAATTAGGAATAAAACGGGAATAGTATTGAAGAGCATCCACTGGTGAACGTATTTATGTAAGATTTTTTGGAGAGGGTACATTTTGAAGATGCCACAGGTATTCGGAGTTTGACAACGCTTTAACCAGTAACACCTTCTAATATGAAGCGCACCCACCAAGTGAAATCAAAAGACAAAAGCGAGGAGATGGAAGATATATTTGATAAGCTATCAATATATCGAGGATCGTTTGAACTAATCTGGCTAGCGATTGCAGCATATGTTGAGCACGGCGTTCCCACACGTGATCTGGTGCGGATGCTTGACCGAGCGCCTTCAGCTAGATGAGTCCATTAAAACTGTGGTCAGCATCCAATGTCGAAAACTTACAGAGCTATCTATTTAGAAGATTTGTTTACCGCTACAGATCACTCCCCCCTAGTGGAGTAGTGATGACCCTAAGACGTGGCCAGCCAAAGTTTGAACCCAACGAGTTTTTCGTTGGTAAACACTCTTCTGATAACTTGCTAGGTT